TAAAAACTATCTCTTAAAGTATTCTTGTTCATGTAATTATATTTAATAGGACTTCAAGAACCACTTAAACACCATTTCATATAGGGGATTAATTTCTTTCCCTTTTTTTATTCAAATTAAGTATCATTATATACATGAAAAAAAAATCTTTCGGGCTGAAGCTCCCCTCCCCCAAAATTAAATCCTGGATCCGCTAGTGTCTCTTGATGTGCTGAAAGAGGTTCAACACTCAATTCTCTTAGACACAGCATGTATTGTTAAAAAAAAATTTAAACATCTAAAAAAATAATAAATATTAATATTAAAGTGGCTGAACTTCTGATCTGCCACCTCAGAAACTCACCCCACAAAGCGAGAATAAAAAATTGAAATAATAATAAAAGGTTTAGCGAACGCGAAGGTTAGATGCCGACACCACTAGACTAGGAACTACCGCCAGTTTCATTAAACGGGTGGCTTACAGCTAGCAACTATTTTAAGGAAGGAGATGGTCCGGGGTGGCGGTCATAAATAGACTAAATAGTGGCAAAAAATAAAATAGTTTTGTCACTATTTAGCCTATTTATGACTGCCACCCCAGACCATCGCCTTCCTTAATAATACAACGGTCAACTATTAAGTATTCAGAAACTATTTTAAATTATAATTAATCCTCGCCTGAATACATAACTCCAATCAGTCGCTTGGAAGCCATTGTTTTATATAATAAAGTTTAAATCAAAGTGGCGAAATTTGACATTTCATTTAACAGGAAAACTGACGGTTGAATATTTGATGAGATGTATAATATGTGTCCCTAAAAATGAAAACATCTTGACTGCTGGTCTAGGTAGTTGCGTTTCGGAAACTGACAGGTTTCAAAATCACTAATTTGTCCGGTCCATTTAACTAATACTCGCTTTAATAAGACTTGCTTCGAATTGGCCTCAGAATATGAAGCGAACCAATCTAAAATAGTCCTCTTCCAAGTCATCCAATCCCGTCTTCATTCAAATTCTCTGTTCGTTCCCGAATAGGGGTGCGATTCTCTGCGGTCTCTCTTGAGGAGTTCAGGGTAGCCATGAGCAGTTCCTGGAGAAGGCAGAGCAAGTGAGATCGAGACAGGGACCCCCATGTTATTAATGCTAAGCCAATACAAAATATACAGTAAATAATACGTGTAATTAAGATGCCAATCCAACAGGAGCACCTCATACCAAAAGAATGCCTTCGCCTTTCCTCTTGTGTATTTTGCGAATGTTACTAGCCAACTCTTAAGGTAGGAGCATGGAAACTGCCTGTTCGAATCAACTAATCTATGTATAGTTAGTATAATGATCAGAAGGTCTTGGTAGAGCGTGTTCAAATTAAAGTATAATGACTTAGTGGATGAAGGAAGAGGCTAGGACGACCTCAAGTTTCAGGCGGATGAGCACCCAAACCACTCTTATTTATGGTCTGAGGGTTAGGAGATGAACCTCGAGACACCACAGGACGGAAACTACAAATGGAGAGATGATGAATCTCTAGACTTTGTGAGAAAATGCAATACTAAGGAGGGCTAAGCCTTCATTCTTGTTATTTCTGGTGATGTATTCTATGAACTGACCTATGAAAGTGTTTTGTTTATACCTGATCCGGATTTTATTTCTACTTCATCCGTGATATTAACTATTATAATAATGTTCCAACATAGTGCATACTAGATCATAATAATATACACTGACAGGCAAAAAATTCCACCCACTTGATTTTTCCATGTTTTCATCAAACAATATTTCTGTAAAGTTGTATTTGTATATAATACATGGTATTTGTAGATAATACTTTGTATTTATGGAATTTTATAATCTTTTTTACCTTTAATAATCAAAAAGTGATTGGGAAAGAAAGATTAGAGAAAATTGAAAAACAACCATTATTATTCTAAAAGAAATTAATTACATCATCGTTTAATAGCGTGTGTTTCCTCCTCTTGTCTTCACTACTTCTTGAAGACGCCTCGGCATACTTTCCACCAGTCGGGAAATGTCCCTTTACTGGAGGATAGCACATTCCTCCCGAAGAGCCCTTTCAAGGTCCTGCAGTGTATCAGGAAGTGTTGCACGCGCTCTTATTCGTCTTCCAAGGTTATCCCATAAATGCTCAATGGGGTTCAAATCTGGAGAACGTGCTGGCCAGGCTAAAACCTCAATATTGTTCTGTTGACATGTGATCGTGCATTAGAATATAGCAATCGCCTATTTCGTTGAGGATAGGCAACACATGAGGTTCCAAAATCTCATCTACATAGCGAATGGCCGTCAAAGACCCTCCACGAACCACAACCAATTCTGTGAGGGGCTCCATTGAAATTCCAGCCCACACCATTAAGGAACCACGTTGGAAAGGTTGGCTCTGGGAAAAATTACAGGCTGCATATCTTTCGTTTCTTCTTCTCCACATCCTTTCACGCCCGTCTAGAGATCGAAGAGCGAATCTTGACTCATCTGTAAAAAGTACAGCACTCCATTCGTCCATAGTCCAATGGCTGTGTTCTCGAGCAAAACCAGCCGTGTTACTCTATGAGTTCTGGTCCTCTTACTGGACGAAAAGCCATTAATCCATACTCATTTAATCTTCTCTGAGCGGTACGTTCAGAAATTTGCACACCTCGAACTTCTTCAAGTTGATGAATCGCTTGAACAACTGTATGGTGGTTTCGTAAAATTCTCAAAGTCAAAAATCTGTCATCCCGTGGTTCTGTTACCCTAGGCCGTCCAGAACCGGGTCTTCTATTGTAAGAACCAGTTTCCCGGAAACGCCTGACGGCGTCGACGGCGGAAAACTTCGATGGCATTAGCTGCATATCTAATGGAATGTCCATCATCAATAAGTGCCACACCACGCGCAACATCCTCAGCACTAAGAGGCATTTTTAAACTTAATATTGAAAAAATTAAAAGCCGGAGACTAAGAAATGTGCTGCAAGAAACGGCACTGTACTAATGATACTGAATAAAGATTTTGATTACATAGAAAGTAAACATGGAATTTAGAATCATTTCATTGAATTAAGGATTAAGGGTTATTGTCCTCTATATCAACATTCCTCATTGAAAACAAACAAAAAGATTACCTCTTTATTCATTAAAAACAATAGACCAATCCAAAGCAGAAATATTTTTAGATGAAAACATGAAAAAATCAAGTGGGTGGAATTTTTTGCCTGTCAGTGTATGTATAAACTTAAGTTTTGCGAAGGCAAATATAAATACCAAAGACGAATTGACACTTTTGTAAAAAAACATATTTTTATTATATTTCCACTAATGCTTTTTCCATACCTTTAAAAGTATTGTTTACAATTAACATATGAGATTAAGTCAAAAATTATAATGCTGCAACCAATCGTTTATATATATATATATATATATATATATATATATATATATATATATATATATATATATATATATATATATATATATATACATATTGTAAGTTTATGTTTATTGTACATGAAGTAAACAAGACATATCTTACAAAAACTACTTTAAAACTCAAAAATATTATTCAGGTCCGGTTCTGGCAATTTAATATTTAAATTTTGTTCTCACCCTCTTCCAGGGAGGACCCCTGCCCAACCTCTGGATTTGCTAGTGGTTAGGTCAATCGCTTACACAGGCGGATCTACGGGGAGGGAGGAGGGCTTTCGGGCTGAAGTCCTCTCCTCCCAAAATGGTAAAATATAGCCATGTTTTATGAAAAAAAAATTATCTTTAAAAGTATTATTGTTTGTCTAATTACATTTAATAGGACTTAATGAATCACTCAAACACCATTTCATATAGGTTGTTATTTTCTTTCTTTCTACCGAAGTAATTATCCTAATATATGCATACAAATAAAAATATTTCGGACTGAAGCCCCTCCAAAATTAAATCCTGGATCCGTTAGTTGTCACTTATGCCACAATCTACTGCCAACTATCTATTCAAGCCCTATAGTGCGACAGTACTATACCACTACTGTAAATAGTCATGAATGTGATTATTGTATAATTTTGCAACATAGTACTTTCTTCAAATTGTATGAAAAGGCCAGAGTTTCACTTATTTTCCATTTCACTGGTATTTCTCTCTTATTTACTTAAACAATAACTTCCAAAATAGTCCAATAAACCATAAGCGTAATGGTTATATTATATTACAGGTAATAAATTAATGATTGGGGCTTATTTATATAGGTAGCTCTAACCTTAGCTCCTCAATATTTCCTAGGTACCGTTGCTAATGCTGTCATGACTGTAACTGTCGCGGTACCCCCGTGTAAACTGGATTTACAAAATTAACAGTTAGGAACAATAAGTGATCGATAAACAAATGAAAAGGAACGACTTTGCCCATCTCTAGTTACCTTCTTTTTGCCAAAGCCCATGATCCTCTCTTCCAATTGTATTGCTCCTCCTCACTCTATTTCTCAAAAGTACTTTCCAACAACGACCCTATTTTCTTGGTGTGACTATTAATCCATCTATATTGACCCATTATATAAAATTGTTAACTTTTGCATTACTATATATATGTATAATACATAAAAGTTTCTCCAAAAAGAATCAGCAAAAATGCTATGAATGTAAAAGTTTTGATAATTCATGTTTATGTTTATTGAAAAGATTAGTGAAATTTTCTATAAAACAAAAAAAAAATCAAAATTAGGCTACTTGTTGCAAAGTTAGTGTGTTTCGATTATTGATTATAATTTGTGGTCAAGAAGAAGTTGATCTCATAGAATTAGAATCAGTTTCATTCTCATTCTCAGTGATGGCTTCATGAATTTAATTGATTCAATTTTTGTTTCAAAGCCTTCTAGATGGTATAGACCTCAAATCTTGTTAATATTGTCAACCATTACTTTTTAGTCATACAATATTAATAATTAAAGATATTTGCCATTGTTCATTTTTTTTATTTACAGTAAAAAATAGTATTGTGTCTATATATTGTAAAAATGTGTTGTTGTTTTTGTTTTTTTTCCAGAAGAATGCAACTAGAGATGGATGATTATAGTTGTGCTTTAAAAGATGCGCTGACTGCATTAAAGAACAAAGATTTTAGAAGATTTCAAGATGCCATAAAAAAAGTTGATGTTAAAGATATTAATTACTATTTCGGAGATCCTGAGCATGGCACTTTGCTCGATTTCGGTTGCAGAACCTTCGGATCCCATAATTTTATCAAAACTCTTTTAAGTCATGGTGCTAATCCTAATATTATCAACCCTCTTAGAAACAGCGCTCCTCTTCACTTTGCTGTGGCAATAAATGATTCTGAAAGCGTGCAAGTTCTCCTGGATTTCACCGATACTAATGTCAACGTTCCGGATTCCAAGGGCGACACACCACTACACCTGTCTTTAAAGTTGCCTGATATGAAAATTTTCAATTTACTCCTAAAAGATAAAAGAGTAAACATAAATGCAATAAACAGAAAAGGAAAGAGTATTTTGCTGGTTGCTCTTCAAGAGGATAATAAAGATTCCATAAAATCCATTTTGGAAACAGATAGTTTGGATTTAAAGGCTGATCCTAATTGTTCAAAAGTTTTAGAACTTTTAAATGACATTTATCCCGAATGGAATACTTTATACAAATTTAAAAACAATTATACTTCAGATTCTTCTAGCTTTAGCAGTTTGTTCTATTTACTGCATTCTGGCAAGTACGATGACTTTATTTATCATATCAGGCAGAAGGAGGGTGATAAAGAATTTTTAGATTGTAACGACGGATCACATACATTTTTACAATATTGTTGTGAATTTGGTTTACTTGACGTTATTGAAGAGCTGCTAGCTCTAGAGGTGGACATCAATATGACGCCTAGTACCGACAAGAGAACACCGCTCATGATAGCTGCTTTCAAAGGTTACGCCGATATTGTTAAGAAGCTTCTTGAAACTAATAAGTGTTCCTTTGAGCCCATTGATCAAGAGACCGTTCTTCATTATGTCATCAAAGGCTCCTCTGAGTCGCCTACTTTAGCAGATAATATTAAGATTACCAAAGACCATAATGCCTGTCTATCCTACCTCCTCCAAGTGGAAAGTTGTAAAGAATATATTAATTTTGGTGACGTTAAGGGAAATACACCATTACACTTGGCAGCCAAGCAGGGTGATCGTGAAATTATTTTAATGTGTCTCAAAGCAGGAGCTTCTATAAACTGTTTCAACAAGTTAGACGAACCTTCTTTCATGGATATCAGTTACAGAACGTTGAAAGAGTATTTAGACAGTTGCGTCTATACAAATAACAAGCCACCACAAGAAGAATCTTATGAAATAATCTTAAATTACACTGGCTTGAAACCAGTATGTTATCACAATTTAAGTTTTGACAATGGATCAGAAAATCAATCATCTAAAATTCTTAATAGTTGTGAAACTTGTAATAATTTTGAAACTAAATCATTACTGTATTTATCTAAAAACAATGAATTAAGAAATTTGCTTAAGCATCCAGTTTTCACAAGTTTCTTGTACCTAAAGTGGAATAGGGTTCACAAATGGTTCTGTATCAACTCACTATTTTATATAATTTTTTGGTTAACTCTGACATCGTACATCTTGAATTTCTACCCAGACTTTGAAAGATCTAATCCAAAGTCAAATAGTTCTGTCTCAATTAATACAGCATGGTCTATCCTTGCGGTGATGGTCTTCCTCTTGATGCTTCGCGAACTAGCTCAATTGTGTATAGCACCTCTGAAATATTTAACAAGTGCAGAGAATTGGTTAGAAGTTGCTTTAATATGCACTACTTTGGCATTGTTGTGCGCAGGGGGTGAATCCTCAATTCAATATAAGGTCAGTTTATCAGCAATTGGAATAATGTTGTCCTGGTTTGAATTTGTTCTCTTAATCGGGCGTTACCCAGCATTATCTACTAAATTGGAAATGCTTATCACAGTGTCTTGGAACTTTTTAGCATTTTTAGCTTGGTATTCTTTTCTTATAGCTGCTTTTGCTATTAGCTTTTATTTATTATTCGGAATACATGATTGTTCTGGTGGGGAAAAAGATGTTTGTATGAACAAAACAAATGAAAATGATGACGACTTTTTCAGAAATCCAGGTATATCATTTTTCAAAACAGTTATCATGCTCACTGGAGAATTTGATGCCTCCTCAATTCCATTTGATGAAAGACCAGGAATAAGCCATGTCCTTTTTGTCGCTTTTGTTTTTTTGATAGCCATTGTCTTGTTTAATTTACTTAACGGTTTGGCCGTTAGTGACATTAAAGAAATTCAGTCAGATGCTGAATTAGTAAGTTATATTTCAAGAGTCAAGCTGATAAGTTATATAGAAACTTTGGTCCTAGATCCATTACCTTTTAAGAATAAAATCTTGGATTGGAGCCAACTACTTTGCCAAAAATCAAATTTTATCTCTTATTTAAAAAGTAAATTGTTCTCAAGGTATGTAAACATCTTTCAAAATGATAGTTTAAATGATTCATTTGAAATAAGAATATTGCCAAACTTAGGAAACCATGTTGAAATCAACCAGTTGAAATTCTCTAAAAACCGAAAAGAATCTTGTCTTAGCTGTTGCAAAGGTTGTGATTTCATGGAGATGGATTCGAATATAGTCAAATCTGTTAAGAATGTTCTTTCAGAAAGAGTTATAAAAAATGAGTTGAATGAAATCAGCAAGAAGAAAAGTGAGAATGAAGAGTTACTAATGAAAATGGTCAAAGAGTGTCAAGATAATCTACAGTATTTGATTGACGCTGTTAAGGAATGTAAAGAAGATATTAATAAAATAAAGAGAACAGTCCAACAATGACAATGATTTTTAACACAAGTACATTTTTAACACTCTTAATTAGAACTGATATTGTGTCTCACTTGCTTGAATGTGTATTTTGAACATAGTGTTAATTTTATATTTCAAAATATTTATTATTATTATTACTATTTTTTATTTTAATTTGTCATGTATAATATTGTTACGTCTTTTTAAAAATATATAACTGCTACTATAGATGGATGATATTAATAAATGTATTTAATATAGATGTTAGCTTAAAGTATCGGATAAGGCGCTTTTGATAATTTATGTATATGTTTCAGTTTAATATTTAAATACCCTTTTATCTTAATTCATTCCAGTTTGGTTTTATTTTAGTCTCAAATCAGCACAAAAAAGATGTGTGAGCATGAATGAATCAAATCATGCAGATCCTGCTCCTTTCAATTTATGATAGAAAGATCATATTTATAATTTTTTTCTAGTCTACTGTGTTTTTGTTATATTTGTCATTCCATTTATTGATTAAATAAAAACTATAAAATAATTGTTAAACAATTTATAAATTGACTACTGTTTTAATTATTCAAGTGGTATAGAGCTTATTGTTGTTGGTTTTATTATAGTTTAAATTAATGTTGTTTAAATTTTTACATTTTATAAAATATTTTAGATTATTGATGTTTCTTTCTAACATTGTTTTAGCTCACTGTTAAAATTTTATCGAAATACATTTTAATCAGGAAAAAATAAATAATATTTTTGAAACAAATGGTGTTACCTTACCTTTATTTAATCCCATTACTTTCAATTTATATTGCCACTTAACCATTAGTGGAACTAGGTGTGAACTTTTTAATTTAATTTCAAAACACTTAAATTGATGTAATTTATTTGTTTCTTTCTCTGTTTATTTACATTTAACATTTTTTTCCACTGTTCTTTAATCTTTACAAAAATCATTTATCAACTTTACTTGCTTCCTGTTCCATTCTTTCTTTTCACGAGTATATAACTAGGAAAGGAATACATAAAAGATGAATGATAAAAATGCAGTGTAAACAAGACGGTGCGATAAAGTCCGAGCCCTAGTTGTGGTGGACCTGAATGCTTCGGTGGCTCGAGTGAGAGGAAGCAGCTAGTGCATACCCAAAACATTCCTGTCAAATTATTAAGTCACACTTATCATCTAATATGAGATCATTCAGAGCTTGAAATTATTTTAATTTGTAGTACATTATGCCTCAATTATGAAAGTGTTACTGTTTACATAACTTTTTGAAAAGGATGTTGGCACAAATTTGGTGACTGGAATTCAAGTGGTTCTATTGGTTAAAACTCCACAAATATTGATGCTCGTGGGGAGATCAACAAAACAAAATATAAATTACATTTGTTACCTTTAATATAACTGAAAATGGCAGTTAAAATCCTTTAGCAAATTATTCGCACGGGTCAACTAGTTAAGTAGTAAATAAAATACTCAAAGAAAAACTTTCCGTTAATTGTTTCAGAAATAACTCATTCAAAAATATATGGCTGAATAAATATATTGCAATAAATGTTTAAGTCATACAAAGTTCAAGAAGTATGTATAATAAAATTTGACGAATAACCATTATTTTAGAAATAATTATTTCTTTAATTCATTTATTAGATAAATTATGTCAACAGTGCCCTGTTGATGGCTGGAGCATTAGGAGTGATCAGAGATAGGATTTCACAGCAGTGACTGTATAGGATTCTACAGTGACTGTCACTGTTGGAGTACAGTGATTTCACAGCATCTACAGTGACTGTCACTGTGATTTCTGTTCCTCTGTCACTGTAACAGAATCACAGCTCCACCTATATGGCCCCATCAGGATATATAAGTCAATTAGCTTTGTCACAACTTATCATACTATGTTTTCCATATATAGAATTTGTTCTTTTGACGGTAACAGGTTGTAATGTTGCAATATTAATTTATCATATAATTTAATTAAATTTGTCAAACATTTTCAATTCATTTTTTCCTTGTAACTGACAATGATCCAGTTTTAATCTAAGAACTACTTATTATTGAACCATTAAAAGTGGTCTAAGTAAATAAGCAAAGCTTTTAGATATTGTTATCTTACTAGAAGTATTGTTAGGGTAGGTATATATTAATATAAATTTCTTAGTAAGTAATTACAAGTTATTTTTTCTGATAAAATTGGTTAGACCATTACCCTCTTAATTAGGAGAAGCCTACAAGTTAAAACATACTTATAAGAACAGGCTAATTTTTAATTTAATAATATTTAACTTATAGGAAGTGCAATTTTGGTTATTATTTTATTTCTGAAATATTGTGTTTACTATTTTTTTAAAGCTTGTTTTAACGTACACCAATTTGTGAAGTTTCACACTTCAGATTCTTTATTTATATGGTACTAATTCATATGTGCTCCACAGGGATTACGCGTGGTTCACAATCACTTCGGTCACACTTCTTCATGAAGTGTCGAATGCGTTGGGGTTTATCCAAAAGAGAATGAAAACAACCGACCTCTTAAGTCAGTTACTATTGAGCATAATTTGAATAAATATTTACCTAGTTAACAATTAATAGATACATTTTATCCGTTATTTGATGGGTTTTTACAGATAATTTCTCGGTTACTCATTAGTTACAGATATTCTGAATCATCTATTATCTATTAATAAGAATAACGAATAAAAAGATAAGAGATAACTTCAGATTATTTATTATGCAAATGATAAAAAAACCTTTATATACAGTTATAAAAGAGAATATACAATAGTACATGAGTATTTATACCAACAACATGTAAGCACATGTCAATAAAAATTTTATTCCTAAAAGCATTTTTTTTTCTTTTAACGATCCTTAAAGGATGACTCAAACATCATTTTATATATTTCTTTATTTTTCTTCCACAGTAATTACTGCTATAATAAAAATTAATAATTAACAAATTAGTAATTACATAATTCATAATTAAATTGTTAACAAGGAAGTTCTATGGAATAGAACTTATAGAAGCATAATGATGAAACTATTGTAAATAAACAAACCAAAAAATAATTTACAGATTACTTTAAAATAATTGATAACGAGAATAGTATTGAAAACAGTAATAAAGTAACTGCTACAACAGTAAATAGCTACATCTTTTTAAAAAATTAAAATCCGTTTCGAGATTACAGATACAATTAAAAAAACATTCACCAAGCCTGACCATACTTATAGTATTAAATTTTGCAAATAAAATATCCTAAATAAGACAAACAGATACGAAAGATAAAATAATAATTAGTCTAATTTTATCATCAAAATCAAATTTGAAGTTTGTCCTAATCAATATTAAATGAGAGACAGCAAAAATCAAATCCTAATAGCCCCAATAATATGCACGAGTACACTGGGCAAACAATATAATTATAATTTCAATTTTAAGAATGTTGAAATATTAAATGAGGCCAAAATCAGACAATTCTTGGAATCTATTCATATAAAAAAATATATTAAAAATGTAGTCAATTTCAAAACACAAAATAAATGAATAATAAGTTAACATGATTAGTATTATTGAATTGATATTTAACAATTAAAAAATATATAAATATAATAAGGCAAATATACAAAAATAAATATAATTATTTATTTTTACTGATCACCCCAACCATCCTTCTATTCAATTATTCACTACAGTACACCATCAATCCACAATTAAATAATTAAAAAACATAAGGTGTAAATGAGTAAACAAAAATTAAAGTATTAAGTTTACCTTAGTAGAAATATAACATTTGGGCTTTGTGTTCATTTAGCATACTTCACATTAACATTTTGAATACTATTACAGTATTAAAAAAATACATCTTGAATTCACAATAAAGGCGTGTACAATTTTTATTTTACTAAATATTAGGAGATTATAAATATTCAATTATACAAGTTTTTAATTGTCCAAGCAATAAAAGGGAATATTTTTTGTAAAGCAATGCAGTACTATTTTACCAAGCAATATTATTTCGAACAAAATTGCTTCATCTCATAAAACTTCTTTTTTGTGTTCTATTTAGGACAATTTATCATTGGATAATTTATTTTTGAAGACAATCTATATCTTTGAATTTTTATTTTTCAACTTTCATTTCGTTTATAGAGAATGTTCTTACCATATTGTTAATAAGTGTTTTTTATGTTGACTTAAATCGTAAAAACAATGAAAGCTTTTTTAAATATATAAAAAATAAATGTATATATAATGTTATAATATAGAAGCTGAACAAAGAGGGGGTGAACGTTATCTATTACAATTAACAGAAGCTGATTAATTATTTAATAGAAATCAGTAAAATAATAGCTATTTCTTTTTTTGGATTAAGATTTCATTGAATTTATGAATTATTCAGAGGAGATCTGGAAAATAGTACCTTAAGGAATTAAGGGATGTAGAAAAATATTATGATACTGAATTCACAATTTTTAATTGTGTTGAATTTTTTTTTTTTTTTGTGTGTTTGAAACCATATTCGTGTCTTTATTTTGAATAATTTATGCTTTTTTGAGAACCAGAGATGTGAGGAACTGTAACTCCTGTCCAAAAAATCGTTTTCTTTTTATATCACTCATCTATAATAATAATAATATAAAAAATGATAATAATAATAACTTTATTATGTATTTTAACAGTCCAGTTACCTCCTTTACTTATTGTTTAATCAATATTTTAACACATTTTTCTGCCAATGTTTAAGAAAAAAAGAAGCAGCTAATGTCACTCTTCCTTACATTTTTCATATTTATTATGTTCCATTATTTGGCTAATATCAAATTAATTCTATGAAGTGGAATGGAAAAAAGAGCCTTCTTAATAAAGTTTTTTTTTAGCTTTTAACCTACCTCTTAAATATTCAGAAAATAGTTTCAAGAAAGAAGTTTCATTTCACTAGATTTTATTTAGGTAGAAGTATAATAATTTTATAAGTATAATAATATCAAAAATAAGAATAACAACACGGTAATTACTTTTTCTATCAATTGAATATAATTGTAGTGAGTGTATAGTGGAGGTTTGGGAATGGTGAAGAGTCCTCTATTTCCCCAAAATATTCCGTTATGGTAGAAGGAAAGTTTAAGGGGTGGACTCTCACCTCAGCCTTTTAGAGATACAAAGGGAATAGTGGAGTATAAGGGAGGTCTAAGTATACCACTATAAATTGGGTTAATGCAAACAAATATGGTTAATAGTGGAATATATTTATTAATAAAAATACAAGTGATGTATAGTTGACACAACCCACATATCACAGGTCCATTTCCTTCCTGTTAGAGAAGATGGCCAAATTCATTATGGAAGGCCCAGCTGAAAAATAATACTCCTTTTTAAAGAAAATAAAAAAATAAATTAATTATATGCAGAATTTATTGTCGTAATTTATTACCTCCTTCCAGGCGCTGATTTTGCAAGCTGTTGCAGAATATGCTAGCTCACATACGTCTTTTTGTTGTTGAGAAACTGTTACAAAAAAGGTTTTCTTCAATCATAGTAATCATATCAGAAAATCACTACAAGTATAATCTCCTGTACAAACATATTGCTTCAATTTTAATGTATCATTTATTTTTAAACTTACATTTGTGTTAGCTATATCTTTATTAATTAAGGTGAAAAGTTTAAATTTACTAGGTTGTTACAAAAGTGCTTGGGTATTAGAATAACTTTATTCCATGCTACATATTTTAAATATTATTGAATACTACCCTTCAAAGTAAAGTCCATTGTTTTCAACTACTTTCAGCCAATAATTGGATTTGATGCCGGTACCACTTGTTTGGTTTTGAGGCTAAGAACTCTTCACATTCAACTTTTAGGTCCTCGTAATTATCAAAGATCAGACCTTTTCAAAAATGAGCCACTGATCTAAACAAATGAAAATCTGATGGTGCAAGATCTATACGCAGGATGAGGCAGCACGTTTACTTCTTGTAGATCTGATAATTTTCCCAGGCCAAAAGAGAAAGATATGCAGGGACATTGTTGTGCAGCAAAATGGCTTGGTTCCTGATTCCTGTTGTATTTCTGAGATACTTTGCACTCAAAACTCTATAACTGTGGCTAGCTGTTCACAGTAAAGGTTTGAGTCCCCTACCCGACCATCAGGAACAATCTCAATGCCTTTGAAGTTTCACCCAACACTAAGTATTACTTTTTGAGTGTAAAGTATCACCCAACATAAAGTATTACTTTATAAGTGTAACATTTTGGTCAACAGGAACCTAGCCATTTTGCAATATGACAATGCTCCTGCACATTGTTCTCCTTTGACCAAGCAAAATTATCAAAACTGCAAGCAGTAATTAACCTAACTTAAGCAGTAAGTAATCTAATTTAATGTTTTGCTTCATTCTGTCTTTAACCTAGATATTGCACAATCAGATTGTCCTTTGTTTAGAATAAGGGATCATTTTTTAAAAGGTTGGATCATTGGCAAAATCCTAGAAGACTCAAAATTTGGATATGAAGAGTGAGTTCTTTGTCTCAAAACCAAAGGAGTGGTATCAGATCCAATTAGAATCAAAATCAAATCCAATTACTGGCAGAAAATAGTTGAAAACAAAGGATTTTTAGTAGAAGAGTACTCTTCAATAATTTTTAAAATATGTAATATGAAATAAAGCTATACTTATGCACAACTTTTGTATCAACCTAGTAAAATTGACTACTGTTTCATAATATTGCGATTATTTTGCAGAGGAAATTTAATGTAAAAAAGCTTCAATTACTTCACAAGAATATATTTCTACACTTTGATTATAACCTTATATATATATATCAATAAATTTAATTGTTTGTGATAATTTTTTTCAAGTTTTATCATTTTAAAAGTGAAATAAATACCAAAGCATCTTGAATATTAATTGAACAAATCAGAAAGCTGAATAGTTATCTAATTATCCTGTACATTTTTAATTAAGGGATTATAAATGAGCAAAATTCCTATCATGAATCATTAACAATTGTCACTTATCTAATGAGCGATAACATTAACTCCTACCTTCAGCTTTGCATTTCCGGATCAGCTTATCAACTTTGGTTTTATCATCTTGGTTATTAAGGCAGTGTTTGATGAGATGTTTGAAATAATCCCAATCCATTTTACCTTCTTTGATCTACAAGATGGAAGACTTCAATAATTAAGGATATTGTAATCGATCGCATCCATTTCAAAACCAATTAAATGTCATACATGAAATCAGTAAAATAAGTATAAATATATATAATTTATTTCAAGTCATGTAGCCATTATTTTACTTACAACAACTAATTTCTTCAAAACACAACTAAGCCAACACTGGAAAAAAAAGAAGTAAAATGAACATTTGAAAAATAAAATAAATACAGTATATTACTAAAATCAGATATATATAAAAAGAACACAAATATTTCCTGTTTGTACAAAACAGGAACCTCAGTAGTGCTGGGGTAATTTAGGTGGAGCTGTGATTCTGTCACAGTGATTGGGCTGCAGCTAGTGGTACACGTGACAGGCGCACCAAAATCACAGTGACAGTCACTATAGTTGCTGTGACACGCACTCTGAAATTACAACTCTTTTAAAGCACTCTATCACTACTCAAACTCTTAGCGACTCTGATCTGGACACTGTTGACATAATTTATCTAGTAAATGAATTAAACGAAGTCATGAAATAATTATGTTTTCAAAATAATGGTCATTCCTTAAATTTTATTATAAATACAATATACATATAGCCATATATTTCTGAAATAATCAATGGGAAGTTTTCCTTTCACTATTTTATTTATTGCTTGGTTACCGTTTATTAACTAAATTACTTTTTAACAACGTAAAATAATTGTTTCCGAAAGAACTCCAGTTCTGAAATAAGTTCAAAAACCATGAATAATGAAAATATGTAATATAATTATAATAATATTATTATAACCTAGGACACTCAAACCAGTCAATTATAAATGAATAAAATTCTAAAAATCGCCTAACACTTGCAATATAAATGAAAAATAAATTTGAAATTAAGTAAACTCAAATATTTCCTCCAAGAGCGTAGAAAGTAACCGAGGGGCCTCAGGGTTAACTTTTTGGAGTGTCTGTCAAATATTAAATTTCTCACTGAAACCCTGCCTCCTCATTAATAATCTATGTAATATTATTTATATTTGATTTTAATATAAGTTTAATAAGTAACTGTGATTTCATAGTGATGCTGTCACCATGGAACTGTTGTATATCTATCACTTATCAACATAAGAGTAGGTAGTTATTTTTATAGATAGAGAAGTCAAAGTGAAAATGATGGCATAACTTCATTTAAAACAATTAATTATCTTGTTTTTCATATCCATTAATAGGTTAAATTTATATGTTTGCATCACTTTCTATTTCCTTTTAGGTCTGTCTATAGTACTGCTATGTTTTAGGGATTGATTTTGAAGAGAGTTTATAATGCTTAGATCTTACCCTCACATGGATGGACGCTTAATAATGCTGTGTTCTAAGGAGAACATTATTTGGGATGCCACTGGATAATTACCCAGAAATATGTAATAAAAATCTGGTGCGCGCAACACACAACTTTCACTTACTGCTCAACTTTAAATAGAAATTATTTTCTGGCCATATTGGGCTATTATAAAATTTTTTAATTGCATTTTTAACTGAGCTAAAGCTAAAAGATTGCAGCTCACAAATCATAAATACTATTAAAATAACAAAAGTCCTATTTATTATATTACCGGTTGATTATGGATTGTACGATTCGTTAATTATGGATTGTTCGATCCATTGATTATGAATTGTATGACTATTAGTAATTAAACTGTTATTTTCCATTGCAAAGTTTATTAAAACGCAATTAAGGGATTTGCATTGTCTGTCATAGATAGGTCAAAAGTTGTCACACTAATTGTGACACTAAAGTGGATTCTGTTCCCCGCAAAGAGAAAATTTATCAAATTATTCACTAATTTAATTTTCTAAAAGGTTACGTAATGATTTTTTGGAATAAACATAATGGAATAAATTTTATTTGTTCTCCTTTATTCAATTATCAAATTCTTTCAAAAATTATATTTAGCATTTCTTCGTAATTTTTAATAATGAGAGATAGTTGATTATTTAAAATAAACCATATTAAAGGTACTTTAGGGAAAACGCATATGAACATTGGGCATTTAAGCTCTGTAAAGTGACATCAACGGCTATAAGACCTAAATGATATTAAAGACCACTTAATTATACAATAATACACCGAGTTTAGTCAAAATTGTTAGAGCTGTTTTTGAGAAAATTGTAAATGTGCGAGAGAATTTTTGAGAAAATTCTAAGTTTTATTGGAAACATTTATTACAAAACTTGTTGAAAAAATAACTTAACATTAGTAAATATTGTATATTATTAGGTTTATATTAGTAGATTCTCAAACCATTTTGGAAAGTTTTGAATAAGTGATACTTTTTGATAACTAACAAAATGAAAACCATGTACAGAAAAGTATCGGATATCTGCAAAGGGAGAGGATCGGCAAAGGTCGGGCGCTCTTGGCTCTTTCCATGCAGTTTCTAACCCTTATTTATCTTTTTTTTACAAATGAATTTTCTTCATTCATTATATTTAACTATTTTTTATATCATTTTACAATGTACAGTGTGCAAACCAATAGAAGAGAGCGCAGACCATGTTTTCTTCTTCTGTCACCGCTTTCAGGAAGAGAGAAGAATTCCGAGATGCCTGCGGATCAGAATCTACAGCTAATAATCTCACTAGACTGATGCCAAGAGTGTTGGATGGCGGGACAACACTTTGCAGCATAGGTCATCAAGATACTGAGGAGTGAGGAAATGGAAAGGTGAACCAGGAAGTAGCCTTAGAAAATGAGGCGGCACACAGCCAATCCCTCCCCCATGATGTAATGTCTAACGGTAGTGCCTTGGAGGGTGAGAAACAGGTGTAGGAAGGTGGTTTTAGTGCGTACAAATCCCACACGCGGATAGGTACAGGCTTATTTGTGTATTTTTAAAGATTTTCACCTATCCTCGTTAAAAAAAAAAAAAATACCATTTTTGTGGGATTTGGTTATTTAGATTCAGAGAACCTCAAAAGATGTATTTCTGTTCAAAATTCAGATTCGAAAATTTTCAGGATCGCAATACTTTCTCTTACTACATATTACATATGTAAGTGAAAGTAAAAAATACCTTTTGTGATTAGTAGCAGTGATTTTCCCAGAGCTGTCATGGAAAATCTCTGCCACACCACATCACTAAAGCTCACTAGGAGGGCTCTTTGTAAATCAAATATAATGGATACATATAATGGAGTTACAGATAATAGTTCAGTAAAGATAACTTTTTAATCAGGCATATTAAAAGTTATTAAGAGATAGTGGAGAGTTTTCATCTCTATTCAAAATGTCTTTCCCATCAATGAAGAAAACAAAAAATAATTTGTATAATAGGAACATTGTTTGAATTCAGAAGATGACAAAATATTGGAGCAAGGAAACAGATCGAGTGAAATAGCCTTTAGAAAGAATTAATCAATTAACAGATGAACTAATTTAATTCATGAATAAGACAAAATTGTAAAAAAAAAATAACAAACATTTATGGTAAAATGTGAGCTGATGATGGGGTCAAGACCTTGATATGTCCTAAGATAAAATGACTGAGTAATTGTAAAACTAAGAAATGTACAAAAAATTTGGAAGCCAAAAAATACCACATCGAATTACTGAAAACCTCGAGACTAGATGTAAAGTTAAGATATTAAAGATATATGATAAACAAAGTAAACATGTAAGGCATGGTTAAGATCATGACTTTTATTAGAAGTAAGAAATAAAAAATAAATACTACATATTGAATAAATCAAATTAAATACAAAAAAATCATACATACAGAAGAAAATAAAATGCTTAGTCTCACCTTAACTTCATGATCATCAAGAACGAAATCATGGTTTAAAATACCCTCAACAGCTTCTGTAACATTGGTCAGTAAATTTTACTAGTTTAACGGGAATATAAAAAACAGAATTAAATTATTATGTCAGAAATAAATACCTCTACTAATTTGGTGAACATCTGAACATTGAACTATAGCCTGAAGTTCTAGCAATGCGATGAAACCACAATCATTTTCATCGGCCTAGATGATGTAATAAATCATTCAATTCGCTAGTTCTAATTTAACAAGAAGCCAATCGGAGAAGGGAGAACTGTGCTCTTCAAAAGTGACACAAGATGTCGAAATCATATTCAATGGTTGCTTATGTTACGTAGGTCTCATTACTGCTGTCAGGTCAGGAAGTGACAACTGAGGTTGAAATTTAGACGACCAATAAATATAATTTCTGCGTATTATCTGTGTGACTTTTGACTGTCCCTAGCTCTCCTTCCCTCCAACTAACTCCTTCTTACATTTAATTAACTTTATTGTTTTCTAAAATTATTTTTATATGATGAGTGTATATTGATTCAGTTTTGTATCAAACTGAACATAAATAAATGGATTACCATTGGCAATTTTCTCTGATACCCTTTACCAAATGTACAGCTAAACTATTTGAAAATATAAACAGATTAAATAATAGAAAGTGAAAATAATGATAATAGAAGTGAAAAAAAAGTAAGTTAGCTATTAATATAATTGTAAATTGAAAGAAAAAAAGAACACCAAGAAGTCTTGGAGGATGATTACAATAGAGAGATGGTAACTGAAATGTAAAAGAGACTTTAGAGCTTGGACAAAACAGTTTAACTATGGACAATATTGGTTCCCTATAACATCGTCAGTGATAGATAAGAAAAATCTGGTGTGTGCAACACACAACTTTCACTTATCGCTCTACTTTGAATAAAAATTATTTTCTGGTAATGTTGGGCTATTATAACATTTTTAAGTGAATTTTTAATGGAGCTAAAGCTTAAAGCTAACAAATCATAAATACCATTAAAATAACAAAAATACTATTTATTATATCGACGGTAGGCAATAAAAATCTAGTTATTCCATTTGCTTTTATAAACCAGACAACTTCAGTCTATCAGCCTTTCAGTCATCACGAAAGGCGGTGTATAACCAGCATATAACCACTTTATACATACCCTCACGGAGTTCTCACCATTCGAGATTATCTTTGGGTTAAGCAGGCATCAAAGGGATTGTAGGGGTACGGCGGCGGATGAGGAAATGACGGGGAAAATAATTAAAAATAAAAAGAGTTAGAGAAATTATGGGCGAAAGTCGAGGATGAAAAGAACGAGAGAGTGACACGGGAGAATTCGAAAGTGAAAGATGTGATTGGGGAAATAAAAATTGGATCTATCGTCTATCGAAGGATTGGCTTTAGTAGAAGAAAAGAATTGGTGAGATATGAGGGCCCATTCAGGATAACAATTAGGGAACATAATGTTATAACGATCAGGGAACATAATGTTATAACTATTGAGAGTGTAAAAGAACTGAGGAAAAGGACAGTTCACATTGAACAGCTCAAAATCCTAATCAGAATGTCAGAGCAACTGTAGAGACATGGACTAAGATTTGCAAATGCAATGGTATTAGCCGTAATACCATTTCATAGTTAAATCTAATAGACTTCAATAATGACACCACATGTTTGATTAATTTTACTATTCATTATTATCTTTGCCGTGTTCAAATAAATTAAATTTGTTTCTTGCATTCATTGAATACTTATTCAAGTGACAGTTTCCAATAGTTTTAACTCGCTGACACTTAGCTTTATATATATACTATCTGGAAATTTAAATCCATCTAATACATGACTGGATTCATTATAAATTTTGATCTTTAATTTTTTGTTTTCAAAATAATGCTCACAGCCTAAAGTCTTGTTACATTTAAAGATATTATACTTCAATAAAAAACAATTGAGTTGTACAATATTTATGCAAAATATAAATGAATCTATTATTTAATCTGTTTATATTTTGTACTGGTTATTAGTCTATATTATTTGTTGTTTATGTCCTGAAAATAACAAGAAACAAACATAAATAGATCACGTGTAACATTAACTTTCATGTAATAAAATGGTAAATGTTTATATACAATTTACAAATCTCCATTTTAACTGTTACAAATGCTGACATTTTATTTGAAGCCAGTAAAACCAAATAACAAATTATAAACTGGTGATGAAAATAACATCGCCTGTATCACGTTTTTTAAAAATTATTAACAAATTATTGAAACAACAATAATAAACATTTTAAAAATAACTTACATTAATATAAACAGAATTGGCAATAATGATGGCAATAAACAAGATAACAGCTAATATCAACTTCATCTTGCCTTTACAAAAACAACTTTTCTTCTTAAGCTTGAGATGCTGAAGAGGGCGAGGCTCACGATTGGCTCCTTTATATATCGTTGGCTACCACGGCCACTTTCACCTTCAGCTCTGAACATATTGATACAGTCATTTTTATAAATTTGCAATAAACTTTAAAATAATCCAAAATAATTTAAATATAAAAAATAATAATTAAATAATATTTATTTTTAATTATTGATTACATGATATTTTCATGAGACATTGCTATCCAATTCATCCTAGAGGTTTGTCAATACATCATTCAATTATAACAATAGATAGATTTAATTTTATTGACAATAAATATAAAAGACAGAACAAATTAATATAAGAGGATTTCATTACCATTTAATAAAGTAACAATTAAGAATTGTAATGTAATCAAGCAAATATTAGATAAAAAAACTAAAACAGTAAAAGACAAGTGACCAGCAATGCTGAAAAAGCTTGTCCAAAAAAAAAAAATTGAGAGATGCAGTTGCCACCGGCACCATTCAGACACAAAGCAGTGAAAAAATATATGAAAAGGATCTAGTATCATTCACTAAAGAACTACTTGGAGGCAAAATAAAAGTGAAAATAGAGCTCTAAAATTACGTGTATGCATTAATAAATAAGGTGGAACATAAAATATCAGAGAATCCAAATATTACAGGGCTCGTTAAAAAGTATTATGAAACCGATTCAATAACCCACTCAAGAGAAATCGTGTGGATGATGGTCCACAGGAATCTCTCTATTTAGAGGTACTTGCTACATTAAATTCTTTAAAGTAAAAGCTGTGGCACGTGACAATAAACTAGCAGAGGTAGCCGGGAAAAAATTCAGAGAACTGTTAAGAAGTGCAAAAATGTCTCTATTGAAAATTCGTGACAACCGAATATTTGAAAGGAGACCAAATTTATTCTCTTTATACAAAAAAAGAAAACTAGACCACCGAAAAAATATCAACTTCTTCAAATAATATATTTTAAAATACTTACCTAAATAATAAAACAAAAGGGCTAATAAAATCTAGTTCATTTGTTTACAATAAAAAAAAAATAATAATAACTTTTTACAGTTAAAGAGAAAGAAAAGAAGTAATCAAAATTAGTAGAGCGAGATAGGGGGATCTGATGTCTCTAAAAATATTTGTTTCAGTCCTTCAAGATAAATTCAAAGAAATAAGATGGTAACATAAAATAATAACTATTAATTCATCAAGGTGGGGCTGTGTGAACCACGGATCCTTTGACACCAGTTCAAATCATGGCTGGTTAAAATTTATTTCGTGGCTGACCCACAGATCAAATCTTGACTTTTCCACTCTGGAAATAATAGACCTGTAGAATGATTCACCTTACGCCAGAAATGGGCAAATACAAGAAAAAAAATCATGTTGAATTTTAAGATAATCTGGTTATTATAGCAAAAAGTGTAGAAAGGAAAACATGATATACTCCTTCGGATGAAAATATTTAATAGAGAAATAGGTCTCTCCATTGATCCTGAGAAATGTAATTAGCACATAGTGATTTGGAACCCATTTTTTAATCTTTTTTTTGGCCTTTTCCAGTTTATTGTTTCCGTTGATTGATGTATTGTGTAGAAAATTATCTACTTACTTCTAAATTAAATTCATCAAACTGATGATTATATTGTCAATTTGATTATTGATTAAACTATCCTACCATTTACCTTCAAGGTTTTGCAAACAGGACCACGATAGGGCCCAACGGGCCACACAGGTCCCCCTCCCCCCCCACCAGTAGCAGTATCATACCATTTACTAATCAGCTAACCTAATAATTAAATTAGAACCTGCCTGATGTGAAAGCCTGAAATCGAGTCTAACAGAAATTGTTACAACATTAACAATAATATAACAAAAATACACTGAATGAAGAGAAGAAAAAAAAATCAAAAATTTACAAACTGCTGGACAGATTTTGACGACTTTCAGGCTCAAGTCCCCCAAGATAAAAACTTTTTTTTTCATAGGTCCATATTTGTTTTTGTGAGTGATCTAAGCTAAATACTAATACAATAACAATATGTCCTTTTTTACTTTCACTTAACATAGGTAATATATAGTAACGAAAGTATTGCGATCATGAAAATTTTCAAATCAGAGTTTTCAACGGATATACATGTTTTGAGGTTTCCTGAGTCCAAATAACCATATACCGCAAAATGGTCTGTGTGTATGTTATCAGTCTAGATCAAAAACGAAAAGTCATACGAAAGTGAAATTGTATATTTGAGGTTTTTATATACCTCAGATATTACAGAATCTTTTTTGTTAAATAAATATAATTTGGTTAAGAAACAGTTTGTTTAGTTTTCAAAAGAAAACGTAACCTTACAATATATATATAAATGAAATCCTATATCCACTCCCCTACTATCTAGAAATATCTCTCCGAATTCAGCCAGCTAATTGTCAAATAACATTTAAGTAATTAAAAATATTATTGAAGAGAAGAATGGTTGTTGGGGTGATCAGTTAAAAAAACAAATTATAAAAATAAATAAGTATATTTAGAGTTATATACTTATACTTATTTATTTTTTTGACTGATGAATCCAATCCACAATTTAAAATATCATTATCTGCTAATGGCTGGCTACGAAGTAAACATAAAAATAAAGATTAAATATAATAAATTTATTATAAATGTTTAAAGAAAAAAAATATTGTTTAATTTTTTAACAAAGTAAAATGAGTAAAAAATTATTCATTCAAATCGAAATAGCCCAATGATGACCGTGGCCCACATGTCAAAATGAAAATAAAGAGCTGAAATAAGCAACTGAAAATACTATACTCACTTTTTTCCAAACTAAAATTGTATAAATACACATACCTACCCTAATACATATGGATATAGGCCTCACAGATTTACAGCACAGCAAAAAAGACACACATACCCAAACTGCAAATCTTCGCAAGACTAATAACTTCAGCTCCCTGGTACGTATACAATAAAACTTTACATACCAACTTACAACAACCATGTATTGACGAACACATATGTACTCTCTACTCCCGATTTTATATTAAACTACACAGACTCAATAATAGACATATAAAGGACATGACTACAACTGACATTCCCATCAGGAGGTGATAGAAAAGGATCTCATTTCTTGAATTAAGGAAATAAATAAAAACCAAGAAAAGGTACTACTGAGTACTATTCTTCCTCATGCCTAAAATTTCATTTTGTAAATTCACAACTTAGCTGCTTTTTGTCAAATTCAAAACAGGTGCGGAGTAAGATTTCAAGAAAGAAAAAAAATCAAAGCCATAGATCAAATTAAAGCAAAGAAAAACCGAAAATATATATATATATATATATATATATTTTTTTTTTTTTTTCAATGGTAAAACAATTACTTTTTAAATTTTCAACCCCGTGATCTCCTAATATAGTCATATCATTAGAGTGCTACCATTGGGTAGTTACTCAGCAAGTGTATTCATGTCATTATATCAATTATGTTCAAATTTACTTGATGTATTTATGTAATACAGTTGTAAATGTCATAAAGATATAAAAAAAAATAAAAAAATAAAAAAATTTAAAAAAATATAATTTATCCTATTTTAACTAGTAAATTTAATTTAAAAATTTAAAATATCATTCTTTTAATGGAAAAATAGTTTTGTTATGATATTTCATTGACTTTAGAAATTTATTTGTTACTGAAAATCATTTCATAAAAAAAAGATGATACATTTTTACCAGTATGATGCAATGAATTAAATTGTAATTTAAAATTTACAATTTTATCTTAGCATGAAGCAGCTGAATTTTATACTTTCTTATATTATACATAGTGTTCAAATACTCTGAGGGATAAAAATATTGATGAAAAATATAAAATATTAGAATATCCTCAGCAGAGTATAGCAAACTAGTATGAAAGAGAAAACTAATGCCAAAAGATAAACATGACTTTAAAAAAATATTCTTAGCTTTATTTTTAAAGAAGCATTTGAAGCAAGAGAAATGATGATCTATGAGTTGGACTGTTGAAGAGAGGGGATGGTGCTATATAAAGGGGGCAGGGAGGAACCTCTCCCTCTTGTACCACCGGAACCTTCCTTCGCAAGGTCAAGTTCTCTGAGTGCAAGATGAAGTTCTTTGCGGCTATTGTCTTATCTTTTCTTCTTGTCGCTGCCAACATTGTCCTAATTCAAGTAAGTTATTTCATCAGTCATGTATCTTTAATAATTTGTTGTTGTTTAATAATTAAGCAAATATGGTTTGAGAAATGTTCCACATTCAGGTAGAATGCACTGAAAGGTAATTCTCAACTATCTGGATAAAGAGATCTTAATAATAGGAGCACTTAAAGTTCTTCAAACGGTGCGCAATAAAAGATATGAAAGAACAGCCTTTAACATCACCATAACCATATTTTTTTCCCAATAGATATATAACATAAATCTATAAGCAAATATTCAACTAAAGCAATAAACCCAGACGATATGATAGTAAAGGTATTAAATTTAACGGAAACTTCACTTCCCCAAAAACAATATTTACAAATTACTACTGTTTCTATTATTCCAAGAAATAGTTCATTGTAAGTTGAAACCAAGTATTTATTAGCTCAGAAAAATATTGGAAAAACGTACTACTATGTGAACTCTTTTAAAGTACATGTTCTGTAGGAAACACTGAAATATTTATTATTAAGTTGAGGGAAACATGGGTGCTAAATAATTAGAGAAGCAAGGGGACCATAAAACAATCAATCACTGGTTCTGTGTATAAAATTATTTCGAAAGCTGAATAAATTAACAGATATTTAAAACTGATAATAGAAACAGTTTTTTCTTTATTTAAAAATTTTAATAGAGAACTAATAAAACAAGCAATATTGCATAAATAAATCTAACATATTGTTATTTGATTATTATAAACAATGGTATCTAAATAAAAAATTGCTAATAATTTGTTTTGTAATTTAGTGCCAAGAAGAAGACATTATGGCTACAAAGAAAGAAGCTTTCTCTCAATGCTCTATTGAACACAATATTAGCAAAGGTATATTGATTATTTTCTTTAATATAATTGTTAACATTGTATTACATATTTGTTTATAGTTTGTGTTTGAACACAATATTAGCAAAGGTGTTTATTTGCTTAATATAATTGTTAACATTGTATTACATATTTCTTTATCGTTTGTGTTTATATAACATATTTTTATGGTTGAGGTAATATTGTAGTTCTTATAGAAACTTAATATCAATTCATTGTACTTGAGTAGTATCTCTAAATAAATCAATTGTTTCACTATTAATAAAAAAACTTGCATAATCTAACAGTAAGTTGATCAAATTTTTAAAAATTTTGCAGAAGCTGTTCATAGCATTATGAACCATGAGAATGTGCCAAACGATAGTGAAGTTAAGGTGAGACTTATTAAGATTTTATTATAATATGAAAAAAATGTCTCCATATTATGTTATTTATTATTGTTTTATTTATCTATTTGGACTGGGCTACTGTTGTTGAATTCAAATGTTTTAATTAAATCTCAACTAAATGTGCAATTATTGGTTTGTGATCTTTAAATGAGCTCCTACGGCTAATTATATATAGTCAATTATATATAGCCAGTTTCTTCTTAATGTAAAGTATATTGACAGCCATGCTGCAGATAAAGCCTTTAAGAACAATTTTATAGGAAAGAATGGTTTTGAGGTTTTCCGAGATGTATAAACAAAAAATGTTACTTAAAATATTACATATTTGTATTCAGTATACATTAAAAATTGAACAAAAAATCTAGTTGATAAAATAAATGTGTAAAATTATTTTGTTTTTACTTCTGAATATTTTTAGTTTTTGTAATAGTGAAAATATTTTTATCATCAGCCCAATGGCAAAACCACGAATCCGAAAAGAAAAAAAAAAGTGAAATTTCATTAAGTACGTGTAACAATATGTACAAAGCACTCATCTATAAGGATAGTTTAAAATTAGTTTTATGTAAATAGTCCTAATGGGAAATCATGAAAGCTTTAGAGATGGTTTGTGTAACGTTTAACCAAATAATGTGATTTTTTAAAGCCAAAGGAAACCTCCTTCTTTTTCTTAAAATAAAAAAAAAAAAACGCATTCAAATTGGCTTTTGGCTGATGACTAATCATTCAGTTTACAATAATTGTGAATCAAATAATTTGATCCGTTTTGATCGGGTCGAAGGAAGAATGTTTCTTATTATAATTATTTTTTACCTCAAAATTCCACATTTTAGGTAGCAGTCTTCCTAAGATAAATCTACTCCATTAATGCACATTGTCTCTAATCTTTATAGTTATAAAGAATAGAATGAGAAAAGATTTTTATTATGATTAATTTCAACTATAAATAGTTTATACCAGTCAATTTTCATTTTTCTCTTCCTTTACTATTGGAATGGTCCATTATATATATATATTTCTTTTTAGTGTTGGCTTGGTTGTGTTTTCAAGAAATTAGGAGTGGTAAGTTTGAAAATTTATTATTTTATTATAGATATGTGCCTCTGAGCAAGAAATAAAATAATAATTGTATCTAGTTATTTAAAGTTAATTTTGAATTAAGTTTAATGGTATTTTTGAAGTTTTTATTTTTCAATTTTCCATCTTGTAGCTGAAAAAAGGAAACATTGATTGGGACCGATGCATAATGCTTACAAAGCATTGCCTCAGTAATGATCAAGACAAGGCCAAAGTTGATGAGATTGCCAACATTTGCCGAGCCGAAGGTAATAATATAATAGCCACGCTGATTGAATAAGGAAATAATATATAATTATAGTTTATCTTAGTGATCGAAAATTTCATAATAATTAATGTGAAACAGAAGAACATTATTATAATGCCCTTTTTTACAACAGACCTGTGCAAAAGATATTATGATTATTATTTTAAAAGAAAGAAGAAATAAGGAGACAGAGCATATAATTTTATTTTAATGATTCCTTAAGGTTTTATATAAGAATCCGTTATACTGTACTTATATCAATTCATTATTGTATTGACTGTGCTCAAGACCTATTAGTTCAGTCCACAAGAGCCTCGGTTTGTGGTTCTCTCACTTACTTGGAATATAGAAGTCGATTTGTAACAATATAGAAGCAATATCTGGATATTTTTTCTTTAATAATTATATGAAAAAGTTTCTTTCTATGTTATCCAACCTGCCCACGGGATTATAGAGCTATTCTCCTCCATCTACCTTTTTATTAGATTTTCAGTTCGTCAGAAATTAACATAAAAAGCAATGTTTTAATTTTAAAAACTTAAATTCATGATACCATGGTAACCATAGCACCTAAGAGTCATTTGGCAAGAAACCCAATTTATTTTTAAAATAGGAAAAACATGGTCTTAAAAAAGCACACGACCTAAAAGCATAGTATCGTTGCAACTATAGCACATCTTGATGACTGTATTCAATTCTTTAAACCACAAATTATCCTATCTCGATTCATTGAATTTGAAACCTCCCAAATTTTTTCATGACTTTTATTAAAATTGGAAAATTCTCTATAAAATTCCCTATCATTTGAAAACTCATTCAACAAAATCCAATGATCCTAAGAGCCGTAAAAGGGATCTTTACTAACGTATTACATATTATGTAAATAATAATTAATATTTAAATAATTTACTTATTAGCCAAAGTCTATTAAATAAGTAATTACAAGTATATTTTAATGATCAATGATGCTTATATTGAGCTTAATATATAACTACTATTATTGAATTCATTTTTTCATTTAACAGTTCCTAAAGATGAAAAAGATGAATGTGAGCTGGCATATTCTGTAGCAGTTTGCAAAATCAACAACTGGAATAATGTAACTAAATAATTAAATTATAACCATGCACATTTTCTAAATACGTAGTTATTTTCTTTTGTTATTAGTAAAGTTATTTATTTGTTCATTTCAGCTTGGTCTTCCAATCAGCGATGGCAATGAATGATAAATTAGACATTTTAAGTATTGCTAAGAACAATCATAAGGATTGCATGATATAAATTGCATTCATTACATATTATACTTAATATTAAATAAATTGAATATTAAACTATTATGTTTTGTCTTACCCAACAATTACAAGTTTAAAAAAATAAAGTGTATTCTAGATATCCTATTGACAATAATCATCAATAAATATATTTCATATATCAACTGAAAAATTAAAGTTATCTATTATACATTTATGGGAAAATTAATACAACACCTATATTTCTTCAAAGATATCCACTTCATTTGAATTTTGAGGCCCGATAAAATTTGTATATGATAAAATTAATTATTTTAATTTTATCATATAAAAATTTTATTTATAAAGAAAAATTTTATTTATATTAATAAAATAAGATATAAGAGTTAGTAAAAGAAAAATATTCTCTATTTGATGAGCTTAAAAAAAGATAATTAAAAGGAAAACATTTTTGCAAAGTCAGAAACGGGTATAACTTTTCCTGGGGCAAATCACATCCCCTAAATATATTTTTATTTGAAGATTTTCAAAATATTCCTGAGTAATGTTGTCCTATTCTCCAGGACAGCTGTTTACAGTTTCTCAATGGTGCTGATTACAGATTCAGACTTCTTACTCTTCTGTTAAGGTGGTCACAGACATGTTCAATTGGGTGTAAGTCTGGACTCCATGGTGGAAACACCTACCTCTAAATGCTAACTTCAATCAGGAAATCATCCACCACTCTCGATCTGTGTGCTCTCACATTGTCGTCTATAACACTCACCAAAGTATACACAGTACATGCTCTTTGATAATGCCGTAAAAGTATCTCTATGGTGTCAGTGACCTTCCTTGCACCACAAATATGCCATCAGTAAGCCACCATAAGGTGCCATCTGGGGAGCCATATGGCATGGGACACACCTCTGTTTCTCCTGGGCATCTCCTTATATAAATATGTGTATTGGATGAGTTGAGACCAAATCTTACCTCATCTGTGAAGAGAACTCCCTTCGAATCTCCTACTAAAATGGTCTGGTGTGAATCGAAGACTGGCCATTTAGTTAGCTGTGGTAAGCAGACAGGATTTTGAGCCTTAAGATTACATTCATCAAAACTTTTTCTAACAGTCTTGATGGCAATCAACAAATTTTTAATTTGCCTGAAGAAATTTCTAAGATTATTTCCAATGATTCAGCAGCTTCCCAGAGGCTGTTGTCTGATTTATGTATTGTCTGATGCTTCCGTACACCTATGACGCCACTATTCTTCTCTTCTAGATTGTTGTGTAGTCTCTCTAATTAAAGATTTTAGAGCTATTCTAATAGTTGTATGGTGAACACCCAGTCTCCTGACAATTTCATTCTAGTAACTAACGAGAACAAGTTTATGAGGGGAAAATAGTATCAGTATAATGCTACTGTTTCTGGAAATCAAGATTAAAATAGTCCTTATAAGTAAACAAAGCATTATTTATCGTTTATGTTTACTCTGAAATCTCCAATAGGTAAAGAAAATAGAAGGCAGGCTATCCTACCCTCGCCACCTGTCCAGCCCGCACTGGACTGTAGGTTGGTTGGTGGAAAGGTTGCACTAACGTTCCTAGTTTTCTAATGTGCTGAATCATATCAACCTCCTTGTACATTGCTATCAGCTCCGCATTTCTCCTCCTCATTCCCAGTTGTGAAAAAAAATGGTCTGTAAATTCTTCTGAGAACTTTTCTTTCAAATTGCAGTATCAAAGGATCTTAACATTAAGTCCATAGTAGGGTCCATGTTTCAGAACCATACATCAGTAAAAGTCAGACAAGAGCTTTATAAATCTGAAATTTTGAGGGCTTCAATGTAAGGTTGCTTCAGAGATGTTTGTGTAGTACCAAATAACATCCGGTTTGCGGCTACTATTCTCCTATCAGGTTTGTTTCGATTTCTGCACTAATGTCATTAATTTGTACACTTGTCATCCAAGGTATATGAAATCCTCAAGCTTTTCAATTACCTTTTCTTCTATTATTATATTTGTTACCAGACTAGACCTGGATGATTCGTATTAGGATATTTGGTTTTACTGAAGTTTATCAGTAGCCTCGTTTTAGCAGCAGCATTATTCAGTGCTATAAATGCATCCTTAACAGTTTATAATCCAATGACTTTCCTGCGATATCCATGTCGTCAGCATAACTGAGGAATTGTAGGAGATGATTTATTAATGTACCAGATGTCTGGATCACAGTATCTCTTAAGGACTCCTCAAGACCCAGGTTAAAAACCAGACATGCCAGCCCATCTTCTTGTCGCACCCCCATATCGGTAGAGAACTTGGCAGACTTCCCTCCAAAAATCCTTATGAATGAAGCATTATCTTCTATCATTATCCTTGTAAGGCATACTAGCTTTGGAGAAAAATTAATGGAGGAAAATGGATGGAATCTAAAATTTGAATTTTTCGAATAATTAAATTTTTTCTCCCATAAAGATAGAAGGGATTGATCAAGAAATAGAGAGAGAATGAAAGTCTCACTCTCGGCAACAGATAGAAGGGATTGATCAAGAAATAGAGAGAGAATGAAAGTCTCACTCTCGAGAACAGATAACGGAAAATCTACGAGTGCCACTTGATATCCCTGTTTGCCTGATGAAAGACTAATAAAATAAAATAAAATAAATAAAACTGATAAGACATTTACTGGTTTTCTGCCAACCCAAGGGCATGAATGAGTAGATCCTCAATGAAAACACTTAGCCGCTACCTGTTCTATCTGTACTGTAGTTGTTCTGCCTTGGAGAACTGTAAAATGAATCATGTAAAGAAAATGAGCACTTGATATGAATTTGGGAACAGGTCGATGATGAAAATAAAATGTTTACAATAAACAGTTCAAGTTTTACACAAGATTAAAATTTTCACTGTAACTTATTTGTTTTTTAAGCCACCAAAATGGATTGATATAAGTAAGAGTAACTTTTTGTAGAATCACCCCAATAAATTCATGAAGATGCCAATCTATTAAAAGTTGAGTTTTAAGTTATACTAACCTCCTGCCAAGTTATATAGAATTTGAAAATTTTGTAAAATAAAAAAAAAGATTATTTTAATTATTTATATTTTGTTGTTTCATAAAAATTAGATATGGTACTGTTTATCTTAATTCCATAGATATTATACTTGGTGAAATAACATCACAATTCTATTTAAAGTAATATTAATGTACTACTAAATATAACTAGAGTGAACTCAATTATTAATATAGAGCTGAAGCATTGGTACAAAGATATACAGATACTGAACCTGTTTGGTTCAAGGTAAAGAAGGTTGGGGTACCTTTCAAATAACAAAAACATTTTAACTAAAATATTTATCAATGGTCAACTTCACTTAGGTTGTAACAATGTTAATAAGAGTTAGAAACAGTGTTGCCGTTTGTACGAGGATCCTTGTATTTGTTATGACGTAATGTAAGAGGTGCGAAAACCGACCAGCCTCATATCTCGTACATAATTTGGGTGACGTATGCAAAGTTATATTTTTATGAATGAAGTTTAAATATGTTTTAGAATTATTTTAACTGTATTATCATTTATATTAATATGAAATACTGAACTTCTATTGCTTTATAGAGAAATAAATTGCAATTATATATTATTTAATTAGAGTATGATTACTATTTCCTTCATAAAACCATAGTACTTATATACATAATTTTCTAGAAAATTTTTTTTTTAAAAAATTGAGTCATTTTAAAAAAATATTTTAGATTTTTATAATAAATAAATAAAATGTAAGAGAGTATATCCATTATTGTCTTCATGAAAGTACAATTTTACATAATCATTATATAAATAGGCAAACGCAAAACCAGCCCCTCTTTCTCCTACATTATTCAACCGATTTTCTTCCTTCTTTTTTTGTTTAGTAGTTATTGACGAGTTTTAGTATTATCAATAAATAAAAATATGAAATACTAAGCAAATAAAAATATAAATGGTAGTTTGTTCAAAACAGCTAATCTCCGAAAGTTCTTCACTGAAAGTTTATTTAAATAGTTCTAAGTAATCAAAATCAACCACCATTTATACCACTTGGCAGGTATGCTTCAGTGTTTCAATCCGAGATACTGGCAATCTGCCACTGTGTACAAAACCTACTGCAAACCAATGTGACTGAGAAAAAGATTACCATCTATACTGACAGTCAGGCAGCAATAGGTGCACTTGACAATTATTATGTTTATTCAAAGGTCGTTAAGGAATGCAATAGAGCACTTAACGAGCTAACTGAGCACAACAGAGTTGCAGTGGAGTGGGTGCCAGGTCACTCTGGCATACCAGGCAACGAGGTGGCTGATGAGCTAGCCAGATTGGGCTCAGATACCATTCCTATAACTCCCGACCGAGCCTGTCTGTGGAATAAGCCTCAGCACTGCCAAGGGCAGGATCAGGGAGATCTATGGGAGCAAATTTAGCAATTACTGGACCGACAAGAAACAGAGACATTCGAAGCTGTTCCTTGAAGGCCCATGTAAAAAAAGAAGTAAACAGCTACTGAACATGGACAGAGCAGCCCTTAAAAAACTTACAGCGATCTACACAGGTCACTGTAAGTTAAATAATCATATGTTCAATCTCCGAGTAATGACGAATCCGCTATGCAGATTCTGTCAGGAGGAGAACGAAACAGCTTTTCACATCATATGCAGATGTGACAGGTATATAAGGCTGAGACTGGTTGTATTTGGGGAGGAACAGATGGATCTCCCCAAAAGATATGAGTCGGTCAATCCAACCAGCCTACTTAAATACGCGGAAGCAACAGGACTAACGTTTTAAAACAAAGCGACTTAGTGAATATTGGCGCACAATGGACCCAGTAGGGGTCGACGTGCTTAAAGCCAACTTTAAAAAAAATAAAAAATAAAAATAAAAATAAAAATTTAATAATAAGGAATTAATATTTATTAATTTGAAATATATGTCACAATAGATGAAATCATAATAAAGTGTTTTACATTTATTTTTAATAATGATAGGAATATTGTGTCCTTTAAAAAGTTTATTTTAATGTTAATTTTTATAGAATGTTTTCCAAGTTTCTAAAAATGTAGGTTCTTTTTTATATATATAATTCTTTGCCTTAAATTAAACTCATTTTACTTCTTGACCTTTTAACTTAAACAAAAATAATGTAAAAATGCTTTAAAATATACGAATAGAGGTAATAAGTAAAATTCTGATCTAATGTGATTAAAAAAAAACATTAACATTGAGCCTACAGTAGTGCAAATTTTCAATGAACAAGCGTACAAGGATGTACGAGGTTTGAAGTACGAGGATTTGTCACAGAGCAGTCTTTAGAAGCAACAGAAATAAAAAAAAACGAAGTATTTAAATTATTTTAATGATACTGGTTATATTATGTTTATTATACTCAGACTGGTATTATTCATCATTCATCTAAAACAAATTTGTTTTGTACTTTCTATTATTTTACAACTGTTTGACCCAATTTAATTTGTAGTTCCTGTATTCTTTTAAGAAAAGAAATTTTTTGAGCATATGTTAGTGTCTAATATAGAATTTCGCATTTCTACAGGAATGCTTTTAAAACACAGATTCCCATCATCACCGAAATATTATTTCATTAATTCAACATCTAATCTAATACCTACCTTTCGATATCCATTGATAGGTTTAATTGCAGAAACTGTGTTGTTAATGGCAGCCTTGGTGGATAATACTACGCTCCCTCTTAAATCCCGGTACACATCTGGTAGAATACATCACAACAATTTATCTTCCGATAGGCAAGCCAGCACATGATCACCTTCATCCTGTTTTTTATAAAGACAAATAGTTTATAATCCATATTCTAACCTTCTCAGTGTAATTTAAGTTGTAAGTTAGAAAACATATTTTATTATTCTGAAAAGATTAACTACATTAGACACAAATCAATAACTAAAGTTCATACTCAAATAATAGTGATGAACAATTAAGATAGTAATTTACAAATATTATAAATTAGTACTGAGCTTTGAAAGAATTATTTTGGTTTTTACTTCTCAAGAGTATTACCTGTTTATTTTAATTTTAATTTTATTGACATTAACCTATGTATCAAATAAACTGCTCAAAAATGAACAGGGATATTGTTATTTATGTATTTGTTTTCCTTAGCATTTTTATTTTATTTTTATAATAAAATACAATGAAAATTAATGTAAATAAGATTGTATTAGACAACAGGAAATTGTATAAAAGGTGTTTTAAAAAAATAATAAAATTAAAAGTTTATGTGATCTTGTTTTTATGATTGCGAATTGTGAAAATTTTGCAAAATTTAATGATTTGTGTAATATCCTCTCACAGTTATGCACTACCAGTCTGCATCTATTGAGCATACTATTTATAATGTTGTCGCTTATTTCACAAGGAATTTCATACCATAAACATGAATTACCATGTTTTATTATAAAGTATTAACTGCTTTCAGTTGCTGAAGGTCAACAACCTGAAAACGATAGTCAAAAAGCCTTCTCTGTAGTGCAACCCACATGTGCTCATTGGGATTCAGATGTGGAGACAAAACGGGAAGGAGGAGATGTGAAATGTCCAGATTTTCAACAACTTTTTGCTTAAAAGAGATCACATATTATCATAATGAAAATGGAATCTGTGCCAATTACGATCCTGGTTTGAGGAATGTACTCTATAATTTCTTCAACATAACGAACTGCAATGAGATTACCTTCCGTAATATGCACAGGCTGTGTCAATGTACCCATCTCCTATTGTTGCTAGACTCTTGGCGCCTATGATCCCAGTAAATACACTTGTCTATAAACATAACGGTATTCCAATTTATAATCTCATCTAGATCATCTGCAGAGTTGCTGGAGACGCACTGTTGCTGCAGGTCTTGTGTTAGCATAGGCCTTGGCAGAAAATTCAACACTCATTTAGGCTCTGTCAGATCCTTTTTTTTTTCTACCCTTCCTTGCTAAGTTAAAAGTCCCACCAGGCACTGGGATTTGAACTCGTAATGATTTTTTCAGCTTTAACTTTGGTTATCACGTGGCCGGGCAATGCACGGTGCTATGCAAACGTGTTAGCCCGCTCGGCCACTGCTCCGTCGGGTGCTATGAAAAGGATAACTCCTTCCAGGAATAGCAATACTTCTTTGATCGCTAAGTGCTATAATATTTTGAGATACACTAACAGGTCTGCTACTGCTCCTTTCGGTTTTTCTGAATCTGATGAAAGGATGAGAGACCATCTGGGAGACACCAACTACATTGGCAATATCCATTGCCGGTATCCTTGACCGCTTATTCTCACAATAATATTGCCAACTTCTGGTTCAATATGATGTCTCTCTTTTGTTAAGTAGAATATTACTTTATTACAATGGAGAAAAGTTTTAAACAACTGTTGGTTTACAAAATGAGTATTCTTCATGTTGTAAACTTGCTTACTTTTTATGTTTTTCCAACAAATATGATAATCTCTATCAAACAATAAAAAAAAGGGTATTTTTATTGATACGAATAAAATAGAAATATCCATATTAATTTTTGAGCAGTATATATGTAGTAGATTAATTATGAATATTACAGATTATATATTGGGATGAGATTAATATAATACAACCTTAGAAATTGATTTTAAAAAAAATTCTAATACTAAAATTACAAGATTAAATAAAACGCTCACATACCTACCAACATAATTGTATGAATATAAAAAAAAAAAAAAAGAAAGAAAGATATCACTATACTAAATATTTAAATTAAATAAACAAATAAAATAAATGAAGCGAAGAACGGTTGGGATGATCAGTAAAAATAAATAAGTATATTTAAAAAAAAAATAATAATAATAAATATACTTATTTATTTTTACTTTTTTTTTTTACTAATCATCCCAACCATTTTTCTCTTCAAATATTCACTACAGTCAACGATCAATCTACGATTAAAAATAAATAAATAATAATGAATATTCTCAATTAACTGTCAATCACTATATGAGTGATTAAGGATGATTCCCAGGGAGCCCAAAATAATGTTGTTGTTCAAGATCACAAGCTCTTAACTATTATTAACTAAGTCCCATTTGAGCAGAAATTCAATTATTTAATTTGGTTGCTTAGTAAAAGTTGTGGGTGTAATGCAAGCCGAACAAGATATAATTTACTGTCAAATAGATAGAACCATATAATGCTCTTCATTGACTATCAAATTTTATTTTTATTTTTGATATAGTAAGGAAAATTTTCGAATCTGAGTTTTCAAAAGAAATACACGTTTTGAGGTCCTGTGAGTCCAAATGAGCAAGTTCCACAAAATGGTCTGTGTGTTTGTTATCAGTCTAATTCAAAAACGAAAAGGGCTACGAAAGTGAAATTGCATATTTAAGATCTGTATATCTCTGGGATGTTACAGCAACTTTTTGTCAAAATCGGCTAACCGGAAGTGGCACTTTATATAATCAATTTTGCACATTTTTAAAATTTTCTCGAAAACGGCTATAACAATTTTGATTAAACTCGGTATATCAGTATATTATTAAGTGGTCTTTAATCTCAGCTAGGTCTTCCAAAGATACTAAGTAAGCAATACAAGGAGAAGAGGCAGCTAAGAAGAGAGAGCGAACAGTGGAGCAGTCAACAGATGAACCACATCTGACCGTTACAGCGAGCTTATTATTAGCCTGGCGCTTAGTCCCACTCCTAGTTCCAGGCGGAACAATTAGGTCATCGCTAGGGCAACATCCTCTTTAGCCTTCGGAGGCAGCCTTCACATTTTTGTTGAGGCCCGGGTCGTTTACAAGTGGGCTGGAGTAGAGCTGCATCCGAGCTGGTAAGAATAGCCTCAGCCACGGATGCAACCCGTGCCATTTAACTCACTTCATGCACACCTGACCTGCCTAGTGACAGGATGCGTTTAACTATTAATAAATTTAGATTCCTTAAACAATTGTCGTAATTTATTGGGTAATCTACTGGTTCATCTAAAAACATTTCTCTACAATTAATAGTAGTTAAAGTATTTAAATCAAAATTAAATGAAGTAAATCATTTACCAAAATAATACGAAATATACTACCATTAAGAAATAACAATAATAATTCTCTATATTCAGAATTATACTTAATTCATCCCAAATTATGACTTTGTAATGATCAATTAATCTATCAAAAAAGTGTGGTGAATCACTAGAGCAATAAACTTGATTAAATAAATACTTCACAGATATGAAACAGCATAAGTCTTACCACAATTAGATTTACCATATAAATACAAGTGTTTTCTTTTATAATAGTAACTAGTACTTACAAAATCAATATACCACAAATAAACTTCCATAAACCATATCAAAAAATATCAAATAATAAACATGGCCAAATATAGCAGTACTCTTCACAGAATCTATTACTATGAAATTGGTCATACATTCGTTCAAGAAATTTATAACAATTTCTGTGTTTAACAATAAAGGGATGTCCAACATCAAAGTAAGATAATTTTGGTAGAATAGCATTGCATTTATTTATAAAAGAAAAATAATTATCGCTAACATCACTACTTGTAAAACTCAAATATGCCTTAGTAATATACGTTATATAATTTCTTAAATTACGAGCACCTTCAAAATGAAAAGGGTAATCCTTAAATTTAGCAGAATATAAATTTAATAAATCGCTATATTATCATGTTAATGTATATTAGGTCCTGTAAGATGTCTCCTTACAGGGCCTAAATGTCCAATCTCTCTAAAATTCCTATAATTTGGTTTATTTTAAATAAATAACTATCTGTAATTGTTAAGAGTTATGAAACGATGCTAAATATAATATTTGAAAGAATTCTATAATTGAAAAATGGGAAAATGTTTATTTAGGTCGAAAATGAATCTCAGGAAATAATAGTCAGAAGGTATGAGTGTAATACATCGTTGGAAAGCAGAGAATTTTAGCAAAAAACATATCTAATATAGAAAGTCACGGGAGTGATGAAAAATCATAAATAATAATTTGTGAAAACTAATATTATTTAACAGAAATCACATATTTTCAAGGAAATTAAATGAAATTTGCTAACTAAACTTAAAATTTTGAAAAAAATGTATTCAAAATCTACCAAATCAAGGCAATGAATTGTTTTAAAAAACTATTTCATTTTACTTGTGTGAAAGAAGAAATGAAATATAAAAATATTTCATGGATGTATAAAGCACATGTTTAAAACCTTAAATACATTTACTGTATTTTAATAATTCTAGATCTCATATTATATTTAAATAATTAGGTATTAAGTTCTGCTTATTCTGAAAAACGGTGATTTAACCTTATAGAAAATTTAATTATTGACTAATTTGATAAATTTTCCCTTTGTGAAATCCCAACATTATCCACATACAATTAGTGTGACAAATTTTGACCTATCACCTATGATAGGCAATGAAAATCTCCTAATTTCATTTTAGTAAACTTTACAATGGAAAATAATAGTTTAATCATTAATAGGTGTACAATCCACAATCATTTATTGATTGAATATACAGATAAACTTCCAAATCTCTCTAGGCATATATATACAGCTCAGAGACAGTAGTTATGTGGTTTACAAAAACAGATGGAGTAATGAGATTTAGGGTGTATCAAGAAAAATGACCATTTTACCAAATTCAAGATGTCAAAGGACTGTAAATATTTTAATCCTACTTAATCCTTACCAATACTTAATAATTCTTTTAGAACATTCTCTAAGCTTGTTTAATCCCATTCGACTTCTTCAAAAAAAGACTCAGTTTAGTTATTTGTTTCAAAGAAGCATTACATTGTTCTACGAAATTCTAGTAATTTTAAGGTATTACTCGGAAAAAAAAATTTCACAGCCACTGAAGCAACTCATGAAATCTTTGGTTTGAAAAATTTAGCAGTGGAGATACGACATTGGAAAGGAAGAAGGGCAATGGGCGACCATTAATGTTTATTGATGAGGTTCTGCAGGAAGCTGTTGAGTCAAATCCGTCCACGAGTACTTGCCAAGAAGTGTGTTGTGTCGAAAGATTCTGTTAGTCGCCATCTACTCTCCATGAGAAAGGTGAAAAAGAGCAGTAGAATGGTCCCTCATGAACTTACCTCTTAGCAATCAACTAAGAGGTTGGAAATTTGTGAAAATTTATTGAAAAACCCTTCTGAAATGATACTCCTGCCACATCCACCATATAGTCCAGACCTCGCACCATCGGATTACTACTTATTTAGATCCATGGCCATTTTCTTCAAGGGAAAAAATTTGATAATTTTGCAGAAGTTGAAATTGCAATCCAAGAGTTCTTTGACAGGCATCCCAAAGAATGGTATCAGCGTGGAATCGAGCAATTGGCTAATGACGATAGATAACAGTGGACTATAATTTGAGTATTTATCATATTTTATACCAAAAAAATAATAATTCAAATATTTGGTTGAAAAATGGTCATTTTTTTATACACCTTATTAATTAATAGAGTTTTGGTTATAGTTTATGATTTATTAGCTATAATCTTTAAGCTGCTACTCCATTCGAAAATTCTCATTGACAATTAAATAGATAAAATTATCTAATGCTCTTCATTGACTATTATGACCAGATTATCAATAAAAGTTAATATATTTCTGTCATACCTTAGATATAGAGGAGGAAAATATATAAAAAAAGAATTATTGAAGGAAGTTAGTCAACTGTCTTACATATCATGGGTGATAAATAGTCAGAACGCAGCCATTTTTAAGATTTTCATTGGTGGCGACGTTTCAACCCAAGCATGTGGATCATCAGGGAGTGTTTCGAGCACTGAAGGTATTCACCACAACCTAAAAAAACGTTCCTTTAATCTTTACTTAATTATAAATAGGATTCTTATTTTTTTTTTTTTTCTTACCCTCCAAAAAGTTTATTGAAACAATTACATATATAGTATACAATAATACAATATAAACATGTAATAAATTCCTATAGGATTTGCGGTCTAGGATTCTTATGTATTCTCAATCGCATTTTAGTATAAAAAAACAAGTACCCTTTGTGAGAATGAAAGACAAGTGACTATTCACAATCACCTGTTAAATAAATAACTGAAACCATGGGTCGCCATGTCACACTATCAAATAGATAGAACCATCTAATGCTTTTCATTGACTCTTGGTAGATAAGGAAAATTATTGTATCCTCTGACAGCTGCTCTCTTATTTAGCCTCATCATCCTCTCCTGGTTACTCTCTTCAGCTTGGCTCCTTCTGCTGCAACTGTCCCAATTACTCTATTCTGTGCAACTATGATTGGGTATTAAATTACTAAAAATATTATAGTACTAAAAATATAACAGTATTACTGAAAATCTGGTGAAAACCAAAATTTCACTTACCACCTTGATTGGACATGTCTTCATATTTAAGTATTTTCTTAAACAGGAAAATGAAAGTAAGCAATAGATGGTATAACATATTAATTTAAAACTACTCATTACTATACAATAAATTATGGGCGGGTTGGAAGTATTAAAGGAAATAAAAATTAAAGGAAATTTACAAATGTTAAAAAATAATTGCTTGAGATGAAATAGAGAAAAAATTTTAATTTAATAAAATGTAATAAAATGATCTTTTAGAAAAATTCTGTGATTTAACCAAAACATCTACTACAAAATACATTGAAAATATAACAATAAATGTCAATATATATATTATAGATATTATCAGATCCTCGACATTTTGGGAGAAAATATTTTTTGAAAATTATATGGCGATAGATTTGAACAGTTAGGAAGCCTTGTAATGATACGTGAAGAGCTGCAACGGAGAGGGATTAGGAGAAGACAGCTGGCTTTGGATTTTTTATGATATTTCAGTTTTCATCTAAGATTAACCTATATTTCTCCATTCAAATTCATCCTTATTTAAAAAATTTAATATTTAACAATTTAACATTTAACAAAAGAAAAATATTTAACAATTTTGTATTACTGATAATAATGTGAAATGAATAATTATTTTAAATAAACAAAATTAAAGATATTTTAGAGGAAACAATTTGGCATTTAAGCCCTGTAAAACTATTTCAATGAAGATAACACTTGCCTGGTGTTAAAGATCATTTGATTTCACATTACTCAAACTAGTTTAATCAAAACTGTTAGAGCTGTTTTCAAGAAAATTGCAAAAATATGTAAATTCGATAAATTAAAGTGATATTTCTGGTTAGATGATTGTGAAAAAGTTGTTGTAACATCCCATGTTTACACATACATTAAATAAATATTTTTGTTGGACTTTTTGATTTTGATCTAGGCTGTTTACAAACAAACATAAAAACCATTTTGAGAAACTTGTTTTTATGGACTCAGGGAACCTCAAAATGTGCATTCCTGATGAAAACTTAATTAAAAAATTTTCACGAACACAATATTTTCTCATATTATATATTTCATTCATAGATTAAGTGAAAGTCAAGAATTTCTTCAGATTCTGGTTACATCTCAGTTTTCTGTGACTTTCAATTTTGATCATGTTTGAAAATATTTTTGGGTGTATGGTAATAAAATTTTGGAAAGGTAATTTCCATGATATTCTTATTATGCCAATTGTATGATCTTTGGATCATCTTATAAACGGCAATAGAACAAGAATCTTTTTTAAATAATATATTACGGTGAGCACCTCATGAACTTCCCCTTTTCCTCCTTTTGGGAGATTTGGGTTGGTTTATCTTAAACTCATTTGTGATGTAGAATACTTAGATCATCTTACTTTTTTACAGCTTTTGAAAGGTACATTTGTTTCCTTAAAGACTGCCAACACTTTGGAAAATCTAAGGTTACTTATCAGATCAAATAGATTATATCCAACCTGCAATGTTTTCTCAATTATCAATTAGCAGTAATGATGAATCTTTGAAATAACCAGAGCTCCAGTTTTCTCTCTAAATTCTGACATATATTAAAATTATATTATCTTGATTAATGTAATATATATCAAATTTTCATATACTACAAAAGTATTTCTATTTTCTAGATTAATATATTATGTGAAATTCTGGGAAATAATTCATAATCTAAAAGAATATTTTTATAAAATTAAAAATTTTTCAAAATACAAAAATAATACTGAGACGAATCTGCATTTCAATTTGGAAATAAAAATGTTTTTTCTTGTTTTAAAACTTTAGAAAGGGGTTTTGATGGCTTGAGTAGCAGAAGAGTGGGGGAGGGGGTAGCCTATATAAAGGAGATAGCCGAGGACCTCGCCCTCTTGTACTGCGAGCAGCTCAGGAGAAAGATCATTCTTCGCAGCTCAGGAGGAAGGTCATTCTTCAAGTCCAAGATGAAGCCTTATATCTTTATTGTCTTTATAGCCTTTTTCATCTGTGACAATTTCACTATGATTTATGTAAGTAACTCAGTAACTATGTATTTAACAGTGGCAAGTTTAAAAATGAAAGAAAGAAGGAGAAAAAACCTACAGGAGCAATATTGCTAATAATTTAGGAACGCATTTCAGAGTGAAAGTCATCTTTTGAGACCATTCATAATTTTTTTAAATTTTTAATTAACAAATTATAGCAATTATTGGAGAATCAGTGAAATGTTTTTCATTAATTTAGTTAGCAGATGAACAAAATAAGTTATTGGGAAATAATAAAGAACTTATTTATTTACAAATTCTCTGAATAAAAAGTTTCCTAAATTGTAACAATATTGAATAATATATATTATCAATCACGCAATACAAGTGCAATTGCCTTAAAACAAGAGAACCTAAACAGAACCACACCCATTTGTCTGACTTTATCTTTATTCGTCATTACTTTTTTCCCTTGAATTGCAACAACAGAACCATTGTTTACAGTCATATTGTCTAGTTTAATTAATTGTCTTGAAAAAAATATATATCTAAATGATTTTTAAAATGTTTAATAATGATATTTGTATTAATAGTGGATAGATAGCTGACTGTAGTGAAAATTGAAGAGAAGTTGCTTGAGACGTTTAATCAAAAATACCAAGTAAAAATAAATAAATGATATTTATTTTTATTTTGGCCAAATTTTCGGCCTGAAGTTCAGCCCTTCATCAGGGCTACGGAAAACTTTTTCTAAGGAACTAAGGAAGGTTCTTTTCTGAACTTTGGGCCGAAAATTTGGCAAAAGTAAATGTCATTTATTTATTTTTATTTTGTATTTTTGACTGAACAACCTACTTAACTTCTTTTCAATAATATTTTTACTACAAATCAAAACTCAGTTTATTTAAAATCCGAAATAAATAGTCTCAATTAAAACAAATGAAAAGATAAATAAATTAGTAACTCGCTTAATTTTTTTTTATAAACTTTGAACATTGTATTAAATAAAAAGTTAAAACATACAGCCATAACATTGAAATGAGAACTTCATTAGATGATTAATAAGAGATTAAAAATAATTGAAAATAAATTAAGTGAAGAAAATTTCAATTTTACTAGCAAAAATAGAAAATTACAGGAACAACAACAATTTCAAAATTAGAAGAATATAAAACAGTTTACAATGATTAATTTTCAACAAACTGATATAGAAATTTCAGGTATAAAAATTTAACAAAGATAAATCTGAAAATATTGAAAAATTCCAAAAATTAAACAAAAATCAGAAGTTAAAGAATCACTGGTGTCAGGGAAGCAGGAAAAAAGTTAATTGGAAATAAGGCACTAATAGGGAAAAATTAGGAAATTTGTGAGAAAATAGAAAGAACCATTTGAATCTCGTAAAATTAAACTACCAAAACCTCAATATTAAAATTGATTGTTAGACCAAATTGCTTGATATTTTGTTGTACCAATCACCAAATCGATGTTTTATTATTATTTTTTAGCGAAAAGATTATACAATCAGTTTTTGTTGAATTTACTTGTATATTTAATAATTTAAGTCCATTTCACTTTAATTTAAGGACTGTTTCACTTGTTTCAATGCTTTTGTAGTGTTGATATTGCTACTGTATATAGCAATGTCATCTGTCTAGGCCATTGTAGATGCCTTGGTGTAATTTTTGCCAATTATTTCAGCAGTGTAAATATTGAATAAAGTTTGTGAAAGAACTGCACCTTTAGGTACTCCACCCACATGTCAAAGGTAATGTCTTTGAATAACTACCACCAACCAACACAGTAATACTTTAGTCATTGAGAAACGATTGCAAAATAGAATACAACTGTTCTGGGCAATGCAAACATTTCCAATTTTGAATTAAAATGGAATGTGAAACAGAATTAAAGGACTTTTAATCGTTAATCAAGATCATCCCAGTAGCAGTATTACGTTCCAGTTTTTGAGTAATTTGATTTTGAACTTTTGCTAAAGGATGCTCTGTGCATATATAAAGTAGAGGGCGAAATCCAGTCTGTTAGTCAGAGATTATAAAATATTTCTGGCAAGTCTTGTGAGATATTTTAAGATTATATTTTCCAAATCTTTGAGAATATGCGGTAACCAATTAATTAGATGATAATCCTCTTAATTAATTATTGAAATTTTATTTTATTTAATGAAAATTTTCTCTAATTTTTAATTACCATTTTTTTAAAAAGATTTTCATCTTTTTTTCGTTAGATTTAATTTATTTTGGATTTTAAATCGATTAGGTTTGATTTATTTTCAATTTTAATTTGTTAAGGAGTTGTTCCAATAGTCATCCATTTTTCATTTTTGTTTGCAATTTTGTTAGTTTTGGATCCACATGTGTCGTTGTGATGAACAGTTAAAGCCGCATTGGCACTCTCACCCACAGTGAAGGTCCTTAACTTTATCCAACACGGATCATTAGTGTAAAATATGTGTTGATGCATTCAACACTTTTAATAAATTAGAACAAGGTAGAAAATCAAATAAAAAAAAATTGCTTTTTCATCTAAATTTAAAATGAAAAAGGTAATATGAAATCTAACTCCTACAGTTAAAGGAGAAGAAGTCAAAATATTTATTTGAAAACTGCACGTTTAAAAGATACGCAATTATGTTTTTAATTAACCAAATTAAAAATTGGAGAGGAGATGGCTGACAGTGATTATAATTTGGAGTTGGTCCAAGGGTTCAGGTCAATACATAATACTATTATACTACTAGTACTAATACTAGAGAGGTCAATGTGTCATCATATCATTTATTTGAAGAAGACGGAGAGGAGTGTGAAGAGAAGTTGTCAGATAACAGTGTTAAATGATTCAGAGTTCTGAATGGTTTCTGAAATTTGGTACTGGGACGAGTGGAAAACCGGAGTAGTACGAGGGAGTCAGTTGTTCAGAATTTTTTGATCCAAGCTTTAGTCTGGACCTGTGGCATATGGATTGCGGGTAGGTATGTTGTTGGCCCTGTGGTAGTGATTTCATAATGGAGTGGAAACTTTTGACCTTATTTATAACAATATACTCCCTCGCATCAACACCGCTCTGCTCATCACAGTACCAGATTTCAGAATTCTGCAGAACCAGAACCATCCAGAATTCTGCATCATTCAGCATCGACATCTGACATCTCTCTTCATACTCCTCTTTGTCTTCTTCAATCAATGCTTCATATGATGACACACTGACATCTTCAATTTCAAACCGTTCTTCTTCCCAACCATGATGAAGCCCTACAATGTAGGTCGAAACGTTGGCAAATACAATAAAACACTATTATAATAAATTGTATTACATATTGACCGCACCTCCCGACTTACTCCTTCCAGAAATAAAAATTGATTAGAAGAAGGAAAGTGGAAGAGAATTACATTGATGGGGTAATGATTATTGAAGAGAAAAAAAAAACAACATATTTATTGGATTTAAATTTACCCAAAAGAGAATGATGAAGGAAAGTAGAAGGATTATATTGATGGAGTAACAAAAGAGGCTTTACAGATTTACTGCATTTAAATTTAGCTGAAGGAGAATGATGAAGGACCTGTCCAATGAAGATTTGGCTAATGCTTTCAGATTAGTGATGGAATAAACTAGGTGCTTGGAATAGATTGATGCTAAGAAAACCATAAGTTTGAGATTCTTTACATTAACAGACTATTTATCCGTTGTTTTATTTAATTTCATAAAGTATATAAAACAAAACATATTATTTCATTTGTCTTCAGTTAATATTGCTTTATATCATGGAAAATAACTATGTGTATCAATTCCCATAAAACATATCATAAACAAAATAAACTACTTATATAAGATATAATTCTAATTTCAGGATTAATCTAATATGTTATTTGTTAATAAAACTAAAATAGCATTATCATCTGATGTGTAATGCATTATAATCTAATACGTTATTTGTTAATAAAACTAAAATAGCATTATCATCTGATAAATTGTTTGTTCTTTTGTTACCTAGTGTGCCAGCCATGGGCGTGACGCAACAAAACAAGCTTTCAAACAATGCTCTGAAATACACCAGATTAGTGAAGGTATAAATTTCTTTTGTTCTCTGGCCCCCTGTTACATTTTAAGATACAATGAAACTATAATATTTAATCAAATTTATTCACAATGTTGCAGAAATTATTAATGGAATAAGGAACCGTGCACATATACCTGATGATCAAGAACTCAAGGTGAGTTAGAGACTGTTTTGTTTTATTATGGTTTTCATATACTTTAATATTAATGATTTGTTATCATATGGGTTACCTTTAATGATATGTGATTGAGGTGCCATTTCTTCATTTTTCCTACCATCTATTACTGGTTTATGGATGGATATCACATCCTAACTGTCAGTAATGAAGATAATCCCAAATAAAATCACCATCCCATTCAGTTGAAAGAACTGTTTTCCCAAGAAACACCCTCTAGTGTTTTAACTAATACTCGTTTTCGGAGAATCTACTTTTCAAAAAAACAAAATTTCATTATCAGGCAATCATTAGGAGTTAATACATAATTTTTTTCCATTTAACAAAACAAACAACCCTTTGTTTTGAATTGGGAGAACAGGGTCGCTCAGCAGAACGCAGGTCTCAGGCTGCACTGACGGATCCATGATTTAATATTGGAGGGGGCTGAAGCCCCCAAACCTTATTTATTTGGAAGAAAAAGAAAGAAAATAACTATTTATATGAAATGATGCTTAATTCATATTAAATGTAATTACACTAACAATAATACTTTTAATAATCATTTTTTTCATAAGATATGGTTATATTTCACCATTTTAGGAGGGGAGCTTTAGCCCAAAAGAACAGTACTCACTATATATTTGCATTCTAAAGACATAAACTCTACAGTGCCGAGTTCCAGCAGGAATTAGCCGATGGCACGAGAATAATATACTGAGAATACCAGCTACTATAATATACAGAATATTCTATATACTGAGGATACACCTAGTACCAGCAGTGGAGTCAGGATAAAACTGTCATTACTTTCACTTACTTATATATGTAATATATAGTAAAGGAAAGTATTGCGATCGTGAACATTTTCGAATCTCCTAAGTCCAAAATGGACGTTGTGTGTGAGTGTATGTGTAATTAGAATTATAAAAGAAAGGCTTACAGTGTAATAAAAATAAGAATTTAAGTACATGTAAAAAGTAATAGAGATTTAATTCCTATAATTTTTACTATGTCGTATGATCCTTACTTATTCATAATCAAATATAAGTACTTTCAAATCTCTCTTTGCATTTACCTCAGGGACTGGAGTAATGAAGCTGTCATTGCCTGTAGTCGATATAATAACTTGGGTTTGTGTTATTTTGATGGTATTGTATTAATGAGTTTTTACATCGATGAATATGACCGAAATTCAAAATACGTGTTCTTCCATGTTTAGCTCCATAAAAAACACATTTCAAAAACTGTTTGTAATAGCCCGATTTCACCAAACAAGAATTGCTTTCCGAAGTAGAGCAGTAAGTGAAAGTTGTGTGATGAGCACACCAGATTTTTTATTTGTTAAAAAACTTCCGTTATAGTTCACGAAATATTTATAGTATGAACTAGTATTTTGAATATTTGCCCACGAAGGGTATAAAATTTACTAATAATAATAATAACAGTGATAATAATATATATTTATATGTGAGTATATATGTATAAATAGACTTAACACTCTAGGATATATTTTATGGTGCTCTCAACCCATAAAATAACTTTCCATTCGAGCTTGCTGTGGTGAAACAGTTTCTGATTAAATTAATAATACATTTTTTAATATAATAGTTAAGTAAAATGATTGTTTCCTTATGCTGTTTCTGTTTCTTGTTTTTGATGTTTTCAATCTATTGTCGGTAACAAGAGAAATAAAAAAAAGTTCGGTTCAGCTATACTAGGGAATAGAATTTCCGATCCTTAGAATTGATAAATTCCAAAAAGGCATTTTATAATTTCCGATCCTTAGAATTGATAAACTCCAAAAAGCCATTTTATAATTTCCGATCCTTAGAATTGATAAACTCCAAAAAGGCATTTTATAATTCCCTTCGTTCATTAATTTTTTCGTCACGCAAGTGGTGAGTGCTTCAGGTGTCTAACGAAATGATAACCGGTAACCGAGAGGTCCGGAGAGTAGGGCGGATGTGGCAGAGTTTCATATCCAAGCTCCAACAGTTTTTGTGACGTCACACGTGAGGAATGTGGCCGGGCGTGCCATGCGACCAATGGGCTCCTTCCAATTGACCAAAGATGGCTTCATTATTACCAATTTCTGATGCATTGCATTAAATTGGTGATTCGATATAAATGGTTTCTCCAGGATTTAAGAAGATTTAGTGTATCAAACCAAATGAAGCCCACCAAACAGTAGCCATCACCTTTTTTTGATAAGTTGGGGGCTTTGGAAAATGTTGTGCTGCTTCTACTTTGTCGAGCCACAGTCCAGAAGTAACAATTCTTGACAAAAAAAGGCTCGTTTTTGTTTCGGCAAAGAAATGTAGCACAAACTTCATAACACTGTTTTATATTTTGTATTATTTTTTTGTGGTCGTTTAATGTGTGTGCAACTCAACTTTGAAGCTCTGCCTTTCCAATGGCCTAGAGGTGGTCATCGACGGCCCATTTGCTAAGGTCAAGTTCTCCAACAGCTGTTCTGGGGTTTTCTTCAACCAAAGCTCACAGAATATCGTCATCAAGGGAGGAAGTCCTTCCACGACCTTCTTTGTCTTCAAGGCTGAAGTTTCCCGCCCGAAATATTTTGAACCACCGTTGAACATAGCACTCACTGCTGCTTTCGCCCCAGACTTGATGTTTCTGGCCGTCCGAACAACCTTAAATATATTTAATGTAAATTAATAACTCTAGATCTAATAATATATTTAAATTATTAGGTATATATCGTCAATTTATTCCAAAAAAAAATCCCTTTGTGAAATCACAACATTATCAACTTACAATTAGTGGGACGACTTTTGTATTTAAAAATTTGATGCGTGCAACACACAACTTTCACTTACCGTTCTACTTTGAATAGAAATTATTTTCTGGTAATTTTGGTCTATTGAAAATAAATTTTAAGTCCAATTTTAAAGCTTAAAGCTTACAGCTAACAAATTGTTCAGGGAACTTGACCACCATTTTATGACCTCCATCTTGGTGCAAACCATTCCTGTTGAGTTAACCTGTTTATTTGGTAAAGTGTGCACACAGTAATGTACTCTCTTAAGAAATCACAAGGAAAGAACATGAGTTGCTAAACTTCAAGAGAACAGCCTAGTGCACGGGCGGATCTACGGGGGGGGGGGGGGGGGCTTTCGGGCTGAAGTTCCCCTCCCAAAAATGGAAAAATATAACCATGTTTTATAGAAAAAAAAATATAAAAAAGTATCTCTTAGAGTATTATTGTTCCTGTAATTACATTGAAAAGGGCTTTAGGAATCACTTAAACACCATTTCATATAGGTAGTTAGATTCTTTCTTTTTTTTCAAAGTAATTACCGTTATTTTTATGAAAAAAAAAACTTTAGGGCTGAAGCCCCCCCCCCAAAAAATTAAATCCTGGATCCGCTAGTGACCCCATACACCGTACAGCAATAGTCAAAATGGATCAAAGCTTTTCGATGAAGAGCGGTAAGTGAATGTTGTATGATGCGCGCATCATTTTTTTTATTTTAAGAACCAATGCAATTTTATTTCAACCGAAAGAAATTAATCTCCTTTTTTAATTTTTTTTCCAGTGTTGGCTTGGTTGTGTTTTTAAGAAGCTAGGAATGGTATGTTGGAAGTATTGTATCTTAAAAGTTATATCAGAAACATAGTCAACCATATTTGAAATATTGTATCTTAAAAATTATATCAGAAACATAGTCAACCATATTTGAAATATTGTATCTTAAAAATTATATCAGAAACATAGTCAACCATGTTTAAAATATTGTATCTTAAAAATTATATCAGAGACATTGTGGACCATGTTACAGATGAAAGGAGGGAAAATAGATTGGGCTTCTAGCGTGCACTTCACAAATATCTGCCATACCGGTGAGCAGGACCCAAGGAAGACCGATAAGATGATCCAGATATGCAAAGCTGAAGGTACACCTAGGGCTAGAAGTATAACTCATTTATTGAGAGACCACTAAACCACTAAACCACTAAACCACTATTCTACACATGTAGCCGATAACAACGTCCCAATAGAGCCGCGTTAGGGAGAGCCGATTGGGATAAAATTTATGGTTAGGTCTCACAACTACCAACTACCAAGGCCTGACTCAAATGTTCCCTCAACAAAGTTCATAGTTCCAAATGCTTTGCGAGATCTAACCTCGGGGAGAGGGCGAAGGGGGGGGGGGTGTTATTATGGATAATTGTGAGAAGATGCCTTTTTAAACATGAGCCACCAGTTTACCTAACAAATAATAAGTTGGTCATTTATGAGTTTATTGCGGCTTTTCATGAAAACAAGATGCACAATGCATGAGTGCAAGTGAAAAAAACAGAATTTATGGAAACAATATACGTAATGTATGTACCGATGTTTTTAATCCATGTGTGGTGTGCCATCCGATGTGCTCTGTACCACAAAGATTAATATTAGATCCTATTATCATTCCTTCTCAACATCAATATTTTTATAAATGATAATCAAAAGCAAAATGAAAATGGAATAAAGCAAATTTGCTAAAAATCCATTTTTGCCAAAGTTAAAAACGTTTTGTATTTTATTTTAAATTTATAACAAGTGGGCCATTGCCTCATTATCAAGCTCTAGGAATGGGGCACTGTGATCAACTTCTTTTGGACCTGCTTCAGGTAGATTTCTAAGACAAAAACGAGAGGAAAGTTCCAAGGAAATGAAGTACATTTAATAAAAACATTCTGCAGGGGGATGGAATGTCCAAAACCCGCCTGCCTACAACGTGTTTATTTTTCTTTTTTTTTTCTGTTGGCGTTACAGACCATGTAGATCTTTTGCCGCCTTAACAAGTCTGCTCCATCTCTTCCTATCTTGGGATATTTCTTTCGATTTATCTGCACGCAGCTCTATTGCGTCTCTGTTGATTTTATATATCCATCTGTTTTTTGGCCTTCCGTGTGGTCTTTTGCCTTCTATCGGGGCATTCATTCTTATGTAGAGGCTTCCAGATGGATTGCAACGACCTATATGCCCTGCCCATCTTAAACTCAGTGCCTTAATATCATGCGATATTGATCGACCAGTTTCTGCAAGCAGATCTTTATTTGTCTTTCTTTTCCATGTGTTAGTACTCTGATCTCAGATAGCTTCGATTATTTTGTGGAGGAATTTTTCTCTCAACTCTTTCAACAGTTTTTTCTATAGAGCTAGTTGGTGTCCAGGTCTCATCGCCATTCATTATAACTGGCTTTATCATAGCATTGTACGTCCTTCATTTGAGAGGGAAAGGGAGGAAAAAAGCTTTGTTTGCGCTGGTTATATGCTGGAGCCGAGGCATTTGATCATATATTTTGTCTCCATTCATCATCTTCTCTGACTCTCTTATCAGAGTCTTAGCTAGTTTCTCAATGTCCTCGTGATTACATCTTTTTACATCTTACATCTTCCAGGAGTATTCAAGGATTTTCTGCTTCATTCCGACGCGGACCCCTCCATGTTCCTCTTATCACCTCCTCCAACAATAAGTTGAACAGCATCCGTGATAGCCCACCTCCCTGCCGTGAGCCCGTTCCAACTTTGAAGGCTTCAGGTACTTCTTCTATTATGACTCTACATAAGGCAACAAAGTATAAGAAAATCAAAATGACTAGTTAATTTATCAATTAATAATAAGTTATCATAGAAAATTAAATTAGGATTGCGAAATATACTAGAGTGTGGAGTAACAATTATATTCTTTCATATTAAAACTGATGTTCCAACATGAACTCTGTCATTTCAGTAAATCTTCTTTTTATTAGTTGCTCAAGATGGAATAGACGAATGCGAGCTGGCATATTCTGCAGCTGTTTGCAACATCAAAACCTGGAAAGAGGTAATGGATTGATGAATGATAGTTGCTTTTCATCTACTTTCATTAACATTAGATTCATGATGAAATATATTTATTTTGCAGCTTGGTCTTCTTGAAGAAAATTTGGATAAGTAGTTAATAGCAGATCTTTAGCAATGTTGAAGATATATATATATATATATGAGGCAGAGACTGGCTAGCTAAGGATTTAAGATGTATCTGACATTGTATGTATCAATTATTAATAAATGAAATGAATTTTTAACTGAATGTTATTTAAACCCTTAATTGTATTTTTTTATAAATACAAATATAAATAAATAAAATATTTCTCAGTATAAAAAAGATGGTTTTCATTTCTTCTCCTATAATCTCACATCAAGGCATTATTAATATGACATTTAAGTTAAAAATTGCTGGACATGAAGGGAAAACGATGTTAGTTTGTCACAAATGCAGTCAAACTTACCAATTTTAACTTTTTCTCGTTTTTTCCTGCCAATGGCCAACAGTACCGCTAGCTCGGGCCAGTGTGCGCCGAAATGTTCAAGAAAAGAGTGAACCAAAAATGGCTTGGTTGAAGGAATTTGCAAGAATTAAATAGACCAGGTCACCGAGGAACTGGATTAGTACAATTCTGGAGTACCTTGTTCAATTATAAACACTAGCGGATCCAGGATTTAATTTTGGAGGGGGCTTCTCAGCCCGAAAGCTTTTTTTTTTTCATAAAAAAACGATAATTACTTTGGAAAAAAAAGAAAGAAACTAACTACCTATATGAAATGGTGTTTAAGTGATTCTTAAAGCCCTTTTAAATGTAATTACACGGGTAATAATACTTTGAGAGATAATTTTTTATTATTTTTTTTCGATAAAACATGGTTATATTTTCCCATTTTGGGAAGGGGTTCAGCCCGAAAGCCCCTCCCCTCCTCGTAGATCCGCCCGTGATTATAAATGAAATAAAATAATTACCATAGCGACTATATTTTATTTATTCTTTCTAGATCAAATCAAATTAGGACATAATCTTATACAATTGAATGAAGAATATCATATAATCAAAATCATAAATTTAATATTGCAATTAGAACATTAACAAAAAAAAAAATGAAAATCACAATATTTAGAAAAATGCAAACAAACATAATTATTTCAATCGAATAATTTTAGGTTGATAAATAAAAACGTAAAGTAACTGCAAATTATTACACAATCTTTTATCATTTCCAAAAATTATATATATAAAGTAACATTACTTTCTTTGTCACTTTAAGAAAAATAAATAAAAGCTGATTCCTAACATTGCCCTAAATAATCTTGATGAACTAACTTCCCAAACTTTATTACTTGACAAAATCATTGATTTGAAGCTGACTAACCTCTAAACAATTTTTTCAAAAAAGCGCAATACTTGGCATATCGGACCGACCAACCTTACAGGAGAGCACAAGCTGTTGTCATTGTTAATCAGCCTCTTTCTCATCATCTGCTACCTAAGCATATGCATGATTTCCTACGAGCCACCGCTGTAGTTATCAAGGCTTGCTGCTATTCACTCACACTTGCTCAGCATATTGTCCTCCTAACTAATACATATCAATTATACAGTTCAGTCCCCTCCTCAATTCCTTAAGATATCTCATTCTAGATGCATGTATAAACACCAAGCATCAATGGGGTTCCAGAACTACAAATTCATGTGGACAAAGATTGTTGTAAGCCCCACCGTTCAACATTCCTTCCCCTAGCTTTGCTACCTACTTTCTCACATATCCAGATATCCATGATTTTAAACAGCAACTTAGGCTCCCTCAATTACATGTCTAAATGAACTCTGCTCTGATCATAGTCCTCTAATTCTCCAAGTTTTACTGGCTCCCATTCCCAAATATTTTCCACCTTTTTTTCATTAGAAATCTAGTTAGCTGGAACCTCTTTCGCAAAATCCTTTCTGACAAAAATTATCCTGTACTAGTATCAACAAGCTTTCTGGACTGCCTCTTCCCTGATCAAGTGCTCCAGAATTCTTGATGAAAATACTTTACCTCAACATCTTCTGGTTCTGATGCATTATAACGCTGTGTCAGGTATTTATGAAAATGTATCAGGCATCTTGCCAATCGCAGTCCCTACAACAATTATAATCCTTAATTCCTACCTGTCCTCTATTCTGCAGATGACAATTTCCCGTGTAATATCAGTAAAAAAAGTCTAAAATCTCATCGAAGTTTCCTATCACCTCCAACGAGATGAAGCATCTGATGCCTGGAGAGAATCGGGATGGACTGGGATATGAGCGGTAAAAGACTTTATAATCTATTCGCCTTTTATCTTCTTGTGAGCCCTCTATCTCAGGTGGTCTATCGTGGACTATTACTGATGTTACTTGTTGATGGTAATTACCTAGTATATTGTGCCTTTAATATTCTCAACAAATAAAATAATATTATATCCACTATCTTTTAAACTAAAATTGATACATCTCATCTTGATACATATGAATTATATAAGTGAGAGGGGCAATAATATGTTTGGGAGAGCCATGCGCCATCGGCTTTGGGGAAGAAGGGCACCTCTGGTAACCACCTACCACAGCATTTATTTATTTTGGGGGAGGGAAGAGGGAGGGTTCCAGTGGTACAACCAAACTTGTTCTAATCAGTGTAAGAAGGTCGAGATTAATTCCTAGGTTACACTACAAAATAAATTTCAACCCACTTGGTCATCACAGCCTGTAGTCCAGTAAGTTTATCAAACGTTGATGTTTTGAAGTTTTGTATGTTTTCTAGAAGCATAAATAGTAGATATATTGGACTGGAGGATGGCAATTAGCATTATTTCTGAGCCCTTCCTTGCTTGTTAATGAGCTATCCAACTATGTCATTGTCTGGCAGCTATCAAACTGTATTACTGCCTTTATGTCCTGCCACATACGGTAGGTTATCTTTAATGCCCTGCTACATTAATAGATTTAGGATACCGAGACAATTTCAAACTAGCTATTTCTTCAAATATATTTAGTTTATGTGCCCCTCTCAGCAATATGCTGGAGAAGTTGGAACAATGCACAATACCAAAGATTTTTTACAACAGTAGTAACAAAATAAAAAATTTAGCTTACAACGTAACCAAGTTATTTATTTTTCTAATAAAAACACTGATGAAGTTTTAAATAAAAGAAACCTTGGACATTTCATATGCAAGATAAAAATAAATTAATGAAACTATCTGTAAATAACAACTGTGGAAAACAAAAGAAACCTTTGATGAAAACTTTTCCAACAATTGAGCCTTTGTTTGAGTAATCTAACAGTAACAACAAACAATTAAGCCCTTACTCAACTTGAACTACTAATGTTTCTTTTGCAAATATTTGCATATGTTTACTATTGATACAAAGCTTTTCTCTTTATTATAGTTAAGTTTGTTTCTTTTTAATTTCTATTGATAATATTTATAGTAGCTTGACCACACCCAAATAATCATTACACATTGTTAAGCAACTATTTTATTCTATTTTAAAATATTAATTTGTGATAGAATTCTTGGCCCTGGATAGCTGCGGTAATATAATTTCCAGAATAAGATATAAGCAAAGCCAGTTTACTGTAACAACAAATGTAATTAATTTTTTTTGCTGCAGAAATGTGAAAACACTATTCATAAAATAAATAAATTCCCACGAGATATTTATTTTTTCTCCAGCTGAAAAAACAGAAACTGTTTAATGAAAACGGGCTTGATTTCTTGAACACAGTGAGACTAATTGCAATAATTTGAGTGTTATACCAAGTTAATAATGCTATTTGATACTGAATTCATCAATTTATTAAATAGTGTTATATCAGTCATTGCTCCGAAATTAATATTAACTTAAAACAAAAGTAGAATAAACTTTTTCATAAAATTCTTTAATAGAAGTTTAGTATTTATAAATAAAATTGAAGAGAACAATTACATAAATAAAGCACTATTTTTATTAGTTGTACACTTTGTTCTTCGAAATGATGTCATCCAAGGCTAGGGTGGGGATGAAGCTATATAAAGAAAACGGCGGAGGGCCTCGCCCTCTTGTGCCACTGGATGCGTAAGAAGAAGGTCTTACTGTTGGTACAAGATGAAGGCTTATATATCTGTATTAGCAGTCATCTTCATTGCAGCTACTATCTTCAGCGAGATTGCAACAAGTTGTCCTGTAATTTTGTCAATATCTATTGTGTTCTTAATAATTATTACTAATCCAAAAAAGATATTAAGAGAAAATATTAAAATTCATAGCCTAATTGCCATAATATAAAATAAATATTTTTTTTTAATGTGCCTTATTGCTATAATATAAAAAAAAAGAGTTTAATGTATATAAAAGGTGTACTATAAACTCACTATGGAATGTCAATAATACCTGGATGTGTTTAGGAACAACAGCTTCATTACAGCTGTACTTTTTTTTCAATACCATTTATACTAAATTATAATTTCATAACAGATATATGAGAAATTAGTCTTTGATATGTTTAGTGTTATCATTAGTTGAAAAAATTATATTAATAAACCATAAAATTAGCATGAAAAGTATTTATAACCTATCTGTATTTCATTTAGTGCCAGGAAGAAGATGCTGCATCAGATAAAAATCTAGCTATTGCTCAATGTTCAGAGCAACACAAAATCAGCAATGGTATTAATTTATTTTATATGTTTTACTCCATTATCTTTCATTATTTAAATACATTGTTTTACATTTTTGCAACGATTGCAGAAGCTTTTGAAAGGATTGCAAACCATGAGGACGTACCTAATGATCATGAAGTTAAGGTAAGACTCAATTTCAATTCCTTAGTAGTAGAGGTTTTCTTTTCTTATCAACAGTTTTAAATCACTTAGAACAATTGTGGTTATATTGATCCATATTTCAATAACAGTTATTGTAGTTAAATTGATATAGAATTTCACAACAGTTACTGTAGTTATATTTATCTAGATTTTCATAAAAGTTATTTGTGAAATTGTGAGTAGATGTTCAGGGATAACTGATTTTTTTTTCTAACCCCCAAATTGTTTATTTAATCAAATTACATATATAGTATTAAATTACATAACGATACAATATATACAAGTAACAAATTCCTTTCACTGCCCGAGGGCATTTTAAGGATTGGGGATAGCTAAGGGTAACATATGTGGCAGAAGGCCTTGTGACTTTCATCAGGGGCTTTTATTTTACTTTTAATCCAAAGAAGACTCGTTTGGACTTTCAGTTATTCCATGCTTAATTTTTAAGTTCCGCTGCTATTCCGTTGACAAACATTTATTTTTAATTATTACGTTAATGAATCATGTCCATTGAGAGTTATAAAGTGTTTTGATATTGAGCGAAACAGGTTTAAATCCGACTCTACTCTCATCTAAGTAATTTGATATTTAATTAAATAACCAGGGATAACTGAAAGTCGGTTATAGATGTTTAAACCAGACCCTTCAATTAATATAAGTGGGAATAAAATTTATTGAAGGATAATATTCTTCTATATTCTATATTTTAAAGCATCATATTCTAATCTCAATAACATAATAAGTTTTAAGTATTCATGAAGACTTAAATTATGCCAAATATTGCCACCTCATCCAAAAAAGAAATATATATGTTTTTGTTTTATTTTTAATCTACAGAAATTCTATTTTTTTCCATTCTTATTTTGAAATTAAAATTGATCGACATTTTTTATGAAAACTAAGTACTTTTTTTATTAGGATTAAAATAGAAACTTACAGCAATGTCTTTTTTTTATCATACTTTAATCTTTATCAATTTATATTTGTTTTGAAAAGGTAAGTGCACATTATTTTAGCAGGAAATTGCTTTATTTCTAGATTAATGATTAAGTGCAAGGGAATTTATTAATATTAATTATTAAGTTTTACAAAGTTGTAGATTTTACAAAATTAAACAACTGTAAAATATTTATTTAAGAAGCTATATTTTTCATCTTTTGAAAAAAATATTCCTGAGACGATTATATTTTAAATATTATATTTGGGATCATGTTTAAGGGAGGCAGATTTTAATCTGATTGATTGTTCACTTCAGTTGGGACCTGCTGCTGCCTCAAGAAACATGTCTGAAACTCATGATTCGAACAGTAGCAGTTCTGGAGCAATTAGAAAACTTTTTTATCCAAAGATTATTACCTAAAAAGAAAGCCACTGACCATGACCTGATAACTGCTCAAGTGCTCCAGAAAATGCATAGAAAAGCTCTAGTTTACTTAACATCTATTTATAATGCAATACTCAGAATGACCAAATTTCTTATACAATGGAAATACTCATATATTACAATGATTCATAAACCAAACAAGGAAAATTGCACTCCTTCATCATATAGACCAATTAGTCTACTAAAAATTACTGTTCAAAAGAGTTATTAGCATACTGACAGACGGAAAAATAATACCCGACCATCAATTTGGATTCCGGCCACAGCATTCAACCATCCATTAATTACACAGGGTGACTGACTACATTGCAACGATACTGGAACAAAAATTGTATGCAACTGGAGTATTTCTGGATGTCATTGAAGTATTCGATAGAGTTTGGCATAAGGGTCTTCTCTTCAAACTTAAGACGATACTCTCTCTTCTACCTACTATCTTAACCTTCAATTCTTTCTTTCTGACAGATTTTTATCTGTCTGCCAAGGCTCAGAACTTTCTTCAATAAGCCCAGCCTTAGTAAGAGTTCCTCACAGGTCAGTATTCGCTCCGCTTTTATACATCATATACACATATGACATTCCTAACAACGCAAGAACTATTATAACGACTTAAGTGGACGATATAGCTATTCTAACAAGACATAAAAATCCAACACAGGCCTCACTGACTTTACAACATCATCTAACAGAACCAAACGATTGGTGCAAAATCTGGAAAATTCAACTTAGCCAAGACAAATCAGAACACATCACTTTCACTCCTCGACATGAAACATGCCCTCCTATTAACCTTGATAATGCCAAAATTTCTCAAATAGATAAAATACAATATCTTGGAGTGACATTCGACAGAAGAATGACATGGGGCCCACATATCAATCAAAAAAGAAAAACTTTAAAACCTCAGACTACGACTGTTACACTCACTTCTCTCAAGACACTCACAATTAAACTTAAAACAAAAACTGAACACTTACGATTATCTACTTAAGCCCTGGACCTACGCTTCACACATTTATTGGACAGCCAAAACAACCCACATATGAAAACTAAAACTTTTCAGTCCAAAACTTTCAGGACCATAACTAAAGCTGCATGGTACGTCACAAACATTACATTACATAAACACCTTCAAATGCCAACAGTAAACGATCACATATGTACACACTACAAGAAATTTCACAATAACTTACATGCACATAGTAACACACTCATACAAAGTATGGCTTCATTTAACATGTCCGAAAACACACTTAGGAGGCTCAAAAGGAGCTGGATGAGGGATTTCCTCGCTTAAAAAGATGCTAAATTCAAGACAGGAAGGGATGCCACAAGGCACTCCTCTCCATCATGCCGATCAAGCCACTACCTATACTCTTACCGACAACAGACCCGCTAACTGTCATTGCTTATGACAGGTATGGGTGAAGGAATAGAGTTAAAAAAAAAAAATAACTGCTGTAATCATAAAAGAAAAGTAAAAACTTGTCTGAGTCACATTTTATAATCATAAGTGATAGTCATGAAAGTGGGATCACCAACTTAGTTGAATTTGACAATTCCTAATCTATCTTTATTCACAACTAGTCATATTTCATTTTAGCGAACTTTCGTGCCCAATTTATGAGGCAGTAATACTGCATACTAAACACACTCCCAAACTTTACAGACAAATGTCAATAACAGTATATACATTAAGGCTACCTTCCCTTGGTAGCTAACTCCGACGGGAGAACAGGTCAGGCAAACTCAAAGGGGGCAACCCCCATCTGTCTCGAGGGGCAGAGTTTGGGTTGATAAACCGCTCCTCTTAAAACCCTACCATTATGAAACCAGTAACAAGGAATGTTGGACAGATTATTTGGAAATGACTGAATGCCCCCCTAATGGAGTGACAGTGGATGCCACGTTCATTTTGGAAATGGGCAATTGCAAAGCCGCAGTAACCATCAGAGTAGACTGGCGGGCTAAGCTATAGGAGGCCTTGACTCTACAGGAGTTGAAGTACTCCAGGTGATGATAATGAATGGCCCCCGTAGTCTACCCTGCGTTCACCCATGGCTTTTGGCAATTCAGGGTTTGGGTTTATTGAGAAATTGGCACACGTAGACTATATTACCTTTTGTTGTAATATTGTTAAACTCCTTCTCATTCCTTTTATTGTAGTTTTTATGGTGCCTGTTTCAGTTAATTAATACTTTTTTTTTCTTTTAGTGTTGGCTCAGTTGTATAATGAAGAAATTAGGAATGGTAAATATCTATTATTTTATGATACCAAGTCTTGCACTTTAGCATTAGTATTTATGATGGGCATACTCTGTTGTAAGTGGTAATTTTGTTCATTTTGATTTTCTATTTGATTTTGTACATTTTGATTTTCTATTTCATAGATGAAAGAAGGCCAAATTGACTGGGAACATTCCAAAACTCTGATGAAGCAAGACCTTGCGTCTGAGAAAGATAAAGCCAAAGTTGATAAGATTGCTGAAATATGCCTTGCTCAAGGTATGGTAATTCTATTTGTCAATTTGTTAATAGATGGCTTTAAAATAATTAATTTTTAATATATTTAACCACTGAAACCCAAATGATCTCTTACCTACTAAACATTTAAATTTTCAGTTTATATTGAATAAGTTTAAGTATAAAAAATAATATAATTATAATTTAATCAAGTGAATAACATATGTTTGTCACAATTATTGATCCAAACTTTTGATTTAATAGTTTCTGAAGAGAAAATAGATGAATGTCAGCTTGCTTATTCTGTAGCAGTATGTAAAATTAACAACTGGAACAAGGTAACCGAAATGTGAATTATAATAATATATAATTGATAATAACTCTGAAATTATATTTACAATAAAAATTTTAATTGTAAAAAAGGATTTTATTTTTCAGCTTGGCCTTCCAAAAAGAAAAGTGGAACAATAATAAATTAATCCTTAATACTTTTACTGTTCTTGAGCTTGTGTTAATGGACATTATTGCATGGAGATGAACCTCCGATACATATATGTGCCATTATTTGAACATCTAATATATTTTTATGATTAAATAAATTACACTATTAATCTGTTTTATTTCATATTATCCTACATTTTTATTTTAAAAAAAAAAAAAAATAGATTTTTGTCTCTCTCCTTCCCACAAAAAGTTGGTTTACATACATATACGATTATTAAAAGCTAATAAATATTATATTATTAAAATTTAGCAATGTCATCATGTTATTACAAAACTTCCTACTGCAAAGAGATTTTTTTATCCATTGTTTAAAATTATTTGAAATTAAAAAACAAAAGATAGGTTTGAATTAATAACTTATTAGTTGATCAGTAGGAATGATTGGCATAATGTACTGGTCAGTGATTAAATCATTGGCACCATGTTAAAGTAACGAATGTGAGCCTGTTTAACGCTGCACGTTCGTTACTTTAACATGGTACCGACGAAATGATTACACAATATGGAAATAATAAAATAATAAATATGAGACGGAGGAATTAATTTTCTTTTTATAGTTGATTGCACTTCATTTATTAATGTAATAAACCAATACATGTGTAAAAATTCCGATAGGCTGTCTCTGGTAATAATGGCCTCAATTTGATAATTTATTTTTTGCAGTTTAATGAATTTTGAAACCTTTCAAATTATTTTACTAAAATTTAGAAATTGCAAGGATTGAGCAAATAAAGTTTTCTTTTTCTACTGGCTTATCTGGTGCAGCTGTTTATTTTTTTGGCAAAGAAGGAACAGATAATCATCAATATAAATTTATAATTTATTTATGGAGGTAATTTTGAGTAATCAAAGTACAAAATATAGTTTTAAACATTATTTTTGGCAGTGGTTTTCTACTACTTCGCCCAGCCCTGGTTTTTCTAGTTCTGCCAGTGATTTAACCCTTGTGTTTGCTATATTAAGTTAGAGAGTAATTTGATTCCGCTGCTCAATTCCAACATTTACATGATTAATAAATGTTCATTAACCACAACTGAAGGGTTATTTTATGTCAAAAGAACTTGAATCTTGATATATGTTTGACAACATTAACAAATACCAGTATATCTTGCAATTTAATAGTTGCCGTCATGGTGTGGACATAAGGAATCTTTAATCAATATCGTTCCTAAAGCAGTTTTTGCACTATAGTCTATTTTGCAAAATATGCTTGATTTGACAATATAATCTAAGAAATAAAAAATTACAAAAGAAAATAGGTTTATTAGGTTTTGTATAAAATATAATTCTTTTCCTTCTTCATAGGCATGAAAGAAGATCTAGGCGTTCCTAGGCCTGTTCAATCACTCTAGCCCTGTCTTGTCGGTCCGCAGCTAATCTTAAAGACATTTTAAATCTTCAGAGGTTTTCTGAGATGTCATTCCATCTACTTCTTAGCTTCCCTCAAGCCCGCACTACTTCCGAATAACCCTGGTATATCCTTATGATGGTTCTCCCATCATCCATTCTATGGAGGTGACACAACCACTTCAGGTGCGATATTCTGACATAGTGCGACAACTTCATATCGCCCATATAAGGAGTATAATTTTCAATTTTTTCTAAGTTGACTAAAATGTATTCCTAGGTCCTAAAATGTATGACGTGTTTGGGACAAACTCCACCCAAAATATTTAGGGTTGATCACCCTAAATTGATGTTACTCCCCCCCCCCTTCATGGGGTACATGTAAAAGACCGACCAGCCAAGTAGATAACACTACAGCGTGGCGCAGTCTGCACTAAAACTAAAGTGTGGAGAAAAATGGGTGACTAAAACGAGAAGATGACGACTTCTCTCCCCTCTTAAGTCTTAGGAATTCATACTCTGTTCTACCATGGGAAGAGGCATGGAGTAGAACACACTGACACTTACCGGACCCATGGAGGTGAGGAAGCGTTGCAGCCGGCCGACCACCGTACTCAGTCAACATGCAAGTAAAAGATTGTAAAACCTTTATACGCCAAACCCCCATCTCTATATAATGTTTAATATAATTATAGTTCATTTCAATACAGTCCACTAATTTCATTTCAAATACCCAATCATCTTCTGTGCCATATCATACAAAAAATGATGGTATAGATCCCATTTCACAAAATGCAGCTTGCCTGGACTGTCCGACTTGGTGATCCGAGATCTACTCGGTAGGGAATATCGATCAAAGGTATTGGTAGCTAAGTTCATCTATTTAATAAAAGTGCCATTGTCTCCTAGTCTATACAGGGTGGACTATCTGTTGAGCTTCAAATCGGATTGAAGTAATTAATGAATTGTTTCCTTCGATTCATCTTTGGAGTCTCCAGGCGCTCCCATATCTCCAGTTGGTATGCCGAGTTGAAGTGGCTCTTTCTAGTTTTTCGACGACAATATTTCTTAGATGCATTCCTATTACAAACCTTTACAACCGTAAAAACCTTCTTATTTTCTTGATTTGGTTCCTCTGTTCATTCCCTCAACACGAGATCCAACCTAACAATCTTGTATATTCTTTCTTATAGAAATGCTTCCTGTAACGCTTTTTTAAAACTTTAATGCGAGGTAGCTTGTTTTAGAATTCCTTACCCACCTCCATAAGTAAAACAAGTGTGACCAAGGCTCCTTCTTACCTAGTGTTGCCCAAATGCGAGACCGATGTGAGTCTTCGTCTTGCAAACTCAATCTTGGTCATGGTCCTGGTCTTGCGTAAGAGTCTCGCAATAGTCTTGCAGTTACTTATTAGCTTATTACTATACAGATATTACTGTAATTTTGAGGAGTTAAATGCAAAAGGATATTGGTTACACCAATTATTAATATATAGACACTAAGATTGTCAAGTATAAGTAAGTATTTTTCCTTAATTTTTATTTTAAAAATCTGTTCTTTTTACCAGTCTTGGTCTTGGTCTTACAACAGTTAGGCGGCCTTGGTCTTGGTCTTGCAAAGTGCATGACCAAGACCGATTTTGGGCAACACTATTCTTACCTTAAAGACTATATAACTAATTAAAACCCTTGATGTTGCAAATCATGAAGAATGTTTCAAATTTCTCTTTTGTATCTAATATTGTACTTTAAATCTTACCAGATGTTTCCTCAAAAACTCAGGGTGAATGTGGCGATTTAATTCCACTCTTGTGGGGAAAGCTTGAACTACTTTGTTAATCTTACTTGTATCCTTGTTACCTTCTGTATATTCTGTTGATGTTTTTAAGCTAATAAAAACTTTTCTAAGTATAAGACATTCGTTTTTATTTCACCACATCAGCCTCAGTTTAAAGTTATTTCATAATTATCTATATATTATATTTGTTGCTTATATGTAAGCATGGTAAAATTAAATTCCGTTTAACTCAAAAAGTCGAATTTTTTTGTCGATATTGTGATAAACTGTTTCAAAGGTATTTAAATTTCGTAAAAAATGACGGAAATTTCATCGAAATCAAAGCACTATTAGTAGATATATCGCGATTTAAAAATATTTTTGGTTATTATTTTCAATAATGAACCATTGCTATCGACCAAAAAATTCAAAAATTTAACCCTCTGGTTTTTTAAAAGTTTATGGAATTTCCTAAGCCTCGGCAGGGGTTCCGTGGTGTCTTCGAGTGAGTATTACAGATGAACCCAATAGATGGAAACAGATAATCAGGGAGCACAGTATTGATGAATGGAATCGACAAACCCGAAAGAGCGACCTTCCCGATCGTGCACTCGCGATTAACAGCGAAATGGGTGCTCCCGGATTAATGGATTCTCAAGTCCTCACAGGGCGTGGTGACTTTCGGGCCAAACACAGTTTTGCCAAGGACGTCGACCCCTATATCCCAGATGCAATAGAATCTACGACCCCGGAAACTGCCGAGCATGTAGTAATGACTTGCATGTGGGATGACTTTGGAATCGTAGCACTTTAACCTTGGCGCCCCTAGGCAGAGAGAGGAGGCGGCAGCAGGCAATCCATAGTGGACCAAGCTCCTGAAGGCGTGGACTACAGCTGTAGCACTAATGGCAGGGATAGCGTAATACAATATCACTTCACATATCCGTAAGGCAAGGAAGGATATAAATAAAATAAAATAAGGTTGCAGTAGTTACTCTACCTGCGAATACCTTATTATGTCCGAGGAAATGGAAGTCGATAAATGATCTGTTTTATATTTGTATGATTTTATATAGTTTCTTTCTATTACGTCCAGAGTATTCACCGTTATAACTATTAAAAAATATATATAATAGAAAATTAAATTCTGGATCCGCTACTCCAATAGTTAAATATATTTCAAGGTATAAGGTTATATATCTAGTGCGCGCAACACACAACTTTCACTTACCGCTCTACTTGGAATAGAAATTATTTTCTGGCAATGCTGTGCTATTATAAAATATTTGAGGTGCATTTTAAACGGAGCTAAAGCTTAAAGCTTACAGATAACAAATCATTACGACCATTATAATTACAAAAAGTCTATTTATTATATCGACGGTAGGCATTAAAAATCTAGTCACTCCATATACTTTTATAAGCCACACAACTTCAGTCTCTGAGCCTTTCAGTTGACAGAATGACTAACTCCAGTTTCAACATTTTTTAGTAATGTCATTTTAGTGATATTTATAGTTGAAAAAGTTATCTATACAGACAATGAGTAAGTTGATACCGGAGTAGGTGATTGTAGTGTTGAAATATAGAACTGTGAATAAAGGCATAAATTTTGCCATTAGAAACATCATTAAAATTAAAGATAAAGAATGTTGAAATTGGAGTTAGTCATTATGCCAACCGAAAGGCTCATACATGCCTACAGAAGTTTGAAAGTATATCTGAATATTTAACCTATAAAGGATTTTGGATCGTAGGACTATTAGTTATTAAGCTGTTATTTTCCATTGTAAAGTTTACTAAAAGAAAACTAGGAAATTTTCATTGCCTTGCCATGGATAGGT